TTTTAATTTTTTAATTTTTTTTGGGGTACATTTTTCTTTTTTAAAAAAAAAATTATTTTGCACTATTTTTGAGGTATATTTTATATGACAATTCAACTTTTAGCCTTCAATTAGATCTTTTATGTGTCTAATGACCTGTAACTTTGATATTTGTATGATTAAACTCTAATTTAAGATATGTAAGTCTAAATCTTTATTTTAACCATTCATCCCACATTCTACGTATCAAATTGAGTAATAACCACTATGAACTAAAATAAAATTTTTTAAACCAAATAAATCAAACAGTATTCATCATTATAAACAAAAGTTAAAAAAATATATTACCAAATAAATTAGTTAAACGTGTAATGTCATTTTCTTACTAATAAAAGTCAATAATATAGTATTCTATTTTTAATTATAATAAAACTTAACTTAAACTAATAGTTTAACTAATGCCATAGTTATGTTCCATCAAAATCCATTTGAAAGTTATTAATCACTAATTTAACTTTAACAATTTAACAAATGTATATAAAATTTATAAAATTTACTTAAAATATAATTATTAATTTATTGATATATGTTACATCATTATAGCGTCATTACAGCCGCCCCCAATCACCCCGTATCGAGCCCTGAATCGCACGACCCCTGACCGCTCTTGAGTCGAGCTCTGGTCTGAATCTGCAACACTGCATTATGTCTTTAGTTTTCCACAAAAAGTTACTTAAATATTGTAACAAAACTAATCCTAATCAATATTTAGATATTCAAACAAAACTAATCCTAATCAAGAAATAACGGGAGTTGTACTAGTTCTGTTTTTTGAAAAAAAAAAAATCAAGTCGTAGTAATTATATTTTCATGTGTTTAAAGGTTCATACAGATTGCGAGACCTTAACGGGTAACCTTCAACCAGAAACAGTTCCAACGGAAGCCTAGGAACTAATTTCGCTTATTAATTTAACTATAGCTACTTTTCGTTTGTATGAACTGATTAAAGTTCGTAGACATCCTATTTCGGAATTGCATAACCTGACTTATGCCAGACTACAATATAATATTTTAGGTATTAATCTATGTTTTCAAAACCGGACCGGAGAGTGAACCGCTAACATGATCGGGTTAGTGAGTTAACTGAGTTGATCGGTTAACTCGTTCCTCAAAACCGGTAAATCGGTTAAAATAATATCAAAAAAAATTAAAAACCAAACTTTTTAAATAATATTTATGAAAAATCGGTTTAACCGGTACCGGTTTGCAGTCAAACCGCGGTATTGTCTGAGTTTGACCGATTTTGACCGAATTTTTAAAAATTCGATTCATTATAAAAATCGGACCGGTAGAGTCTCCGGTTCCCGGTCTAATCGGTCCGACCACCCAGTCCAGTCCAATTTTGAAAACATAGGTATTAATTAATATACATGTACCTTCTAAAAAAAATAAAAAATCAACAAACAATTTTTAGTTGTGAATGACTTTCTTAGTACCTAATGGAATGCACCGGATAATGACAATCAAGCTACTTCATTTCCAAATCTCTTTCTATTCTTCTGTAGTTATGCATATCAAGATTAATTACCATCGTTGTACTTTTATCCATAGGCAATTGGAGGAGAAAGCAGGTAACTGACTAACAGTCAGGTTAAGGAGTCAAGAGGATTGCCATCATTAACGACGGAAGACTGAACACGCGGAACAAGAAGTGCATGTGATTGAATTTTCCACCAATAGTATTATCCTCTCTTCAAACATAGGCTTTACCTCGTTGTAAAAATCTAAATATTTCTATGCACTAATAGGCGGGGCCTTAAAGAGATTAATTACCATTTTATTCTACTTAAAATAGAGTATATTTCTTTAGTAGACGCTTTGGCATCACTCCCGACTAAGAGCTCAGTAAGGATGCAAAGACTTTAATTGTTTCCTCCCGAAAAATTGTTGTAAGTTGGAGTGCCATGTCACTCAGAGTTGTTTAGTATAGTTTCTTAAAGAAATAATGTCTTCTTACACCATACAAAAAAGAGAGCAATTTCCTTAAAATCACATTACTACAGGCTTACCCGTCGTCAATTATTTAAAAAGTATCAGCCGAAAGGAAGCATAAAATTGCTGAGATTACAACTTACTACTATGATTACGACTGATAACAAGATTTGCATATAATGCTAGGGAATTCTATTGAATGTTAGGAAAATGATATGTATAGTACCCTTATGTCCCATAATTATTGTCTAGTTTGAAATTTCACTTTTAGTACAATTTGAATTAGAAATGAAAATCCAAACTGGACAATAATTATGGGACGGAGAGAATAAAAAAAATAGTGAAAAAAGATAGTAAGTGATGTGGAGTATTTTTTGGTCCCTAATTTTTCGTCATTTTCCCGTTAAAATTTTATCTTTCCCTTAAAATTAAATTTTTATCCTTAATTAATAAGGACAAATATTTAGTGAGAATTGTGTATTTATTTTTTCATTAGTCACTATTCTATTTCACTATAATTTGTCACTATCTCTATTATTGCTTTATATGTTAACTAGTGATATCTGGTCGCGCAATGCGCGACCCTGGCCCAGTCTATCTGTAGATCTTAGAAATGTTTATATTTGAAAAAAAAATAAAATTTTGTATTTGGAGCGATATATTTTAGAAATGTTTGAAGGATTTAGAAATATTTAAAGTGTGATCATAGAAATATTTGAATTTCACAAAAAAAGAAATTGTATTTCGCCATGTATGTTTTAGAAATATTTTATAAGTGTTACTTATTAAATATAAATAGACTTAATCGAATATATGTGTTGAAGTAAATGTTAGACAAAATATAAAAGTATCCTAATAAGTTTAAATATTAGTAAGATGATTTATTGATGTTCTCCATTGGTCGTGCCAAATCAATACTTAGTTTTGAAGATTTTTAATAGCTTTGTAATAAGCTTCATCTGAAGGGTATATGCTTAAAACAAAATTGACACTTTGTAACAAAAACCTAATTGATCAATTCAATTTAGACTCCATAATTAAGAAAAGAAAATCATTCTAATTGAATGAAACATAAAGAAAAAATTTAAAAAAAAAAAAAACGTGTCACGTAAAGTGCAAAGGGGGATTTAGTAATTTAGTTATGGTTAGACAAAAGGCAATTTAATACTTTTCTCATGTCACATGGCAATCATAGGAGGTGTTTGAAAGGGGGGTTTTATAGTAATTTAATTATGGGTAGACAAAAAGGCAATTTAGTACTTTCTTCGTGTCACGTGACAATCATAGGAGTGTTTGAAAGGAACATCATTCCTTCCTAACCAATACAAAATCATACAAAATACTATACAAAAGTGGGATAAAAAAAAAGAACTCACCACCATATAAATTAGTGCGATCATGGTGCGTAGCCCTATTGTAAAAAGTGGGATAAATTAGTAGGACTGTATTGCCGGAAGAGTTTGACCTCAATACAAAATACTATTACTTCTACTCTAAAAAAAAAGAGTGGGCTCTATACAAAATACTATTGTTTTCCTTTCGGTCAAACATCAGCCGATGAAAACATTTCTATTTGGACTGTATTCACTTATTGGACCCTAAGCCCAAAATATTACTCAAAATATTCTGGTACTGGAAGAGTTTTTTTATTTTTTGCCTAACATTGCTGTGTGGCGGACCCCACATCACCATTTCCGTAATTTCGCCTAACATTGCTATGACCGTAAAGCGGCAGCAAAGGGCGAAGCTCCAGCGAATCAAATTTTTTCGAATTCGCAGTACTGCTTTCGTCGCTGGTGCTACTGCCACATGGGTGTTGTTGCTGCATAACACTATTGTCATGGCTCCATGAGTATTCACCAAAGTGCCCAAGTACAGAAACTCCGAGCTCGTTTGCGACGACCTCTGAAGCTTCGGAACTGAGTAATCCATTCCCATACTTAGAAAGTAACCAAATCGAAAGAAATGAATTGAAAATGGAATTCAATTGAAGAAATAAATGAAAGCTTATGGATTAAGGTAGGATTCAATTGAATTCTGCAATAGATGCCTATAGAAGGCTTGTTTCCCATTCTATGTTAGAATAGATGGAAAGTGGCGATCTGGGCTCTAGCACGGGAGAAAATGGCTTGCGACGGAGGTGCCCGAGCAAGGCGGGGTGGTGGCGGAAGCGGCAGTTTACCGGCGGTGGACGGCGGCATTTTGATTATGAGAACGTGCAAGATTTTGGAAGAAGAATCGAAAATGAAAGGGGCTGAAGAGCAATCTCATCAGTTGTAGAATAAGAAGTAATATAATTTACTCTTCTGTATTGTAATGGAGGAGTGAGAATTTGAAAGAGGGAAGAAAACAGAAGAGCACGTGGTGTGTATTGTGGAGGGCATTATGGAAATCTGTTAATTTATTAATACCAATTAATGAGGTGAAAATGCCACGTGGCAATTGAAGGGGAGCTCTTTGAAGTGTGGTTTTTGTTTCTTATATAGTAATATATCAAGGCTTGATTAATGAGGAAGCCGAAATCAAAAGTGGAAAGTTTAATTAGTAGTAACACGTAAAGTTTTATGACATTATTATATTGATGAATATTATCGTGAAATTGTTGAGAGGAAATAAGACTGTCAAACTAGAGTACATTTACGTAGGAACAAGTTTATGCTCGAGAAGCATCAAAATCAGCAAATAAAAACACAACTAAGGCGGTCGAAATTGTAAAATCACGATTAATCTCACGATGACCAGAGCACATATCGTCATAGTAAAACATAATCATATTACTTTTTAAGTTTTTTTTTTGGGCTCCTAACAGAGCTACAAAGGAAAAGTTGACCAAATAAAACCATAGTACCACACACTATTTTCAATATCCGAATCGACGAATTCACCGAATAGATGCTGATCAAAAAGACCCTGGAGGAATGGCCCCACTCAATAGCAAAAAGAAAGGTAGTACTGGAGGATGGGTCCCGCTCAAATAAAAACAAAACCTGAGTTATTAAAGTATTAACAACATAATGTCGCCATTATTCCAAAAACAACCGAACAAATCCGGCTTTCCCCGCCACTCTAAAACTACTCTGCATGCACTCTTCACCTCCCTTATGTCGCCATTTTTTCCCCATCTTCTTCTTCCTTACCAAATTTCCCCACGTCTCCTAACAATAAAACTAATCACTTTTAACCAAACCCAATCAACATTTGATTCCCCTGTTTATATATATATATATATATACAATCCACAAGGCCGTTTAACTGTACCTTTCTCACTGACCCCTGCTGCTACATTTTTTCCCAAAACACACTCAAAAAGATGAACTATAGGCGCCATTTCTTGATTTTTCTGTTTTTAATTGTTGTTACACTGCTTCCTGGTTGTGTGTTTTCACAGAGTGATGGGTCGGAATCATCATCGGGAACCGATGATGTTATTGATAGGAAAGAGGCACTCAAGTATAAACTAATCGCGATAGGTTCGATTCTGATTGCCGGAGCAATTGGGGTGTCGATTCCGATTCTGGGCAAGTTTTTCCCTCTGTTTTCGCCGGAGAACGATATCTTTTTCTTGATCAAGGCGTTTGCCGCCGGGGTAATCTTGTCCACCGGGATGGTACACATATTGCCGGACGCGACAGAGAATCTGACCAATCCGGCACTGAGTGAGAGTCCGTGGGGGTTCCCGTTTTCGGGTCTGGTTGCTATGCTTTCCGCGATTGGGACCCTCATGGTGGACTCTTTCGCCAGCTCTTATTACCAGCGATCCCATTTCGGCAAGACCAACGCCGCCCAAGAAATTATTGCCAGCGGCGCCAGCGGAGATGGGGAGGCGGGACTGAATTTTGATCGCCGGGAAGAACAACAGCAGCGCCAACATCATCATCACAAAGAGCACGTGCATCTGCACACGCACGCGACACATGGACATGCTCATGGGTCGGCTTCATTATCACCGAATCATCAGCCGTTGTTTAGTTCGTCGGAATTGATTCGGCATCGAGTTGTTTCTCAGGTAGTATTTCTTTTATCTTTTCTTCTTCTTCTTTTTTTTTAACTTCTTATTTACTGTTTTTCTGGATTTTTCTTTGTAAATGGCTGACTGAAAAAAGAGCCCCAAAATAAAATGTCTCTCAGAGAATAGAAAAAAAAAATAAAAAAATCCATACTTTTACTGAATAAGTCAAATTTATGCAGAAAGTTTTTTCTCTTTTTTTTTTTATTTGTTTGTTTGTTTGTTTGTTTGTAAAAGCTGGTGTTTTCTTCTTTTTTTTTTTCAACTTGACTACTTATAATTGATACGGAAAAAATAGATTTCTGGAGAATAATTATGAGATATGTTTGTGGAATCAATCCTGATATTTCCGCAGACTGGTAAAGCCTTTTTTTTTTCTGTTTCTTTTTTTGATAAAATATTTTTTCTTTGGTTGGGGAATCAATCCTGAAATTTCCTCATGGCTTTGCTGGTCAAGTTTTGCTATATTTTCTTTTCTTTTTCTTTTTTTTTTTGATGAAATATTTTTTCTTTGGTTGGGGGGTGAGGTTAAGAAGACACTCCACAAAGTCAGTGGGGTTCACTATGTACTCCCTCCGTCCCATAATTATTGTCTAGTTTGAGTTTTCATTTCTAGTTCAAATTGAACTAAAAGTAAACTCTTGGACAATAATTTTGGGACAGAGGGAGTACTTTTTAAGATGATTGTTTTTTCAAGAAATGGCCAGAAGGTTTTTGAGACAACTACAAAAAAATACTAGTAAATATTAAAAGCAAAAGGGAAAAAAATTGAGAAGTCCAATTTCTTTTTTTTTTTTTTTAGAAGAAGTTCGCGAGATAGATTTCTTTTAAGACGCAGTGAATAAGTATTTTCTGATATTTAGATTTGAGCATCAGTTGTAATTAATTAGGTCATAACTTTTAGTATCACTTAAACTGAATATTTGTTAGACGTTTCCATTTTTCAAGAGTATAACAGGAAAAAAGGAGGAAAAAAAAAAGTCCCGCAAAACTATCTAATTTTACGAGCATATTTACATATGTATTAATTTTCAATTACGCATATTCAACAAAATTTATAATTACGAACGAAATGTTCTCTAGATATTTTAAAAATACAAAATTTATATAAGGGTAAGAAAAATAAAAATATCATTATTCTAATGCATTTTTAAATAAATAATAAATATAAAAAGGTGCTACGAAGATATCTTTATGGATTTGAGGTCCAATTTCACAAAATGCCGAAATAGTTTATTCCACTTGCTCTTTTGAATTTTCCCTTTTTGGGTACCCATAAAAAAAATAACACCAAAAAGTTCAATACGAACACTTGTATACATTTTCAATAGTCTCTTACACTTCTATCATATTTATAACAGGTTCTGGAGTTGGGAATTTTAGTGCATTCGGTGATCATTGGTGTATCGCTTGGTGCTTCAGATAGTCCCAGAACAACCAAGCCTCTTGTAGCTGCATTGACCTTCCATCAACTTTTTGAAGGCATGGGCTTAGGAGGCTGTATATCCCAGGTATATTGATTACCTTACAATATTATAAATATTCCATTCTACGTTTATATTACACTTTCTTTGTCCCGAAAAAAATATTTCCTCCGATATTTATTATTGGAGATTTTGATTTGTTTAAAATTTTATTTATTATGTTTTTTTAATTATTATAAAATATTTTTAAAATTTTATTTCAATTAGAAAAACTTATTAAATGAAACTTTGGACAAATCAAAATGATTTTACATAAAAACATAAGGGAATAATTTAGACTATTTCTCTTGAGACGGGTGAGACTTGAAATAAATTGCTAAACTACATTCGTACTAATGATCATGGCATTGCTTTAATTACCCGCAGGCAAGATTCAAGATCAAAACAATCACAATAATGGCGGTGTTCTTCTCTCTTACAACTCCGATCGGAGTTGCGATCGGGATCGGAATTTCTCATAGTTATGACGAGAATAGTAACACTGCCCTAATTGTGGAAGGCCTTTTAAACTCTGCTTCAGCTGGGATTTTAATCTACATGGCACTTGTGGATCTCCTTGCAGCGGATTATATGAATCCCAGAATGCAAAATAATTTGAGGCTTCAATTTGGTGCTAATTTGTCACTCCTTTTGGGAGCTGGTTGTATGTCACTTTTGGCCAAATGGGCATAAACTTTAATCTATTTTGAGACACTTTTTTTTCTTTTTCGGATTTGGTAGATAGGTGATTTTGAGAAATCTAGCTATAGTTCGACTATTAACATTTTGAGAATGTATAGCGGTTTTGTTGTTTTTGATGGAAAACAATGATATGAATTTTGAGGAAGAAAAGTTGTAAATATTGATCCATGCAAAATATATATTTTTTTTTAAACTAATACTCATAATTTCAATGTTCATTTTACACTTTTTTTGTGCAGAAGGTTTCACAATTTTACACACACAAACATAAACTAAAATCCTATGTTTCAAACTCTTAACCCTCTTCCGGAAAAAAAAATCCAATGTAATTATGAACAAGTTCTATAAGTTTTGTGGAAATTGGTAAATGATGGCTTGTAACAAATTGAAAAGAGGAGTCAATTCTCACTCCATGTTAAGGTGGAAACTATGTGTGAATATATTCGTGCGCACACATGTAAGCTAATTGAATCATATAGTTGGCATGTTAATGTTTTTGATCGTGTAAACTAGAAAATAATATTCATAATTTTCTATATTACGAAATGACGTAATCAATTAAATTTTGCTATTGTATGTTTGTATATTAATTGTATATACATAATAATTTAACACAATTAACGTGTATGTACACGTCCAGTGCGAAATTTATATTAATTATATAATAAGGGCATATAAAATATGTCTGGGACCAAAACGATGTAATTAAAATGTTGCCCTTATTAAGTACAAAACTTGGACAATCCACAAAATCATGCTTTACGTACATATGTAATTCCTAATTTTCGGTTTATGTTTAAATGCCTATATTAAAATTATTATTAAATAAAATATGACAATATAAATGCATATTCTAACGTCTGATATGATTTTATCCCATTTAAACTATACCCAAAGCTCTCAATTCACACATTCATTCCAGAATTCTTGAATCTCGATCACAAATTAGTATTTTTACGGCAATTGATTTAGTCAACAAACCATTTTTTAATTTTTTTATTATTTCTAAAATTCAGGACTAAAACGATCAATTAAATAAAATAATTAATAAACTTAATCTTTTTTTAAAAAAATGGCAAAAAATCACATAACATCATAATTTGTTAAATTACTTTTTCAAAAATACAAGCAATCTGTATTCTTTTCTTGTGGATCCCACATTGAAACCCTTAAATAAATAACATAAGTTTCATTTTGTTTCTTTATTTCTTTTTTTTTTATTTTTTATTTTTTGGTATCACTACATCTGTTTAAATCTTAATAGACTGAAGACATTTAAGTAGCATTATAATAAAATGACAATACCATTATAATAATCTACTAGTTTCAACTAAAGATCGAAAGACGACAATGTAATTAACTATTTTGTAGAATGTCATAATGCTATTGTCATTTCATTTGGTGTTTACAAAACAAGCATATAGTTGGTTATATTTTGGTGCTGATGTTGAACAAGTGATTGCATTTTGATACACACAAAATGAAAAAAAAAAATTGGTTGTATTTTTGTACATATACATCGGTTATTAAAGGTTCAGTTAATGATAGGTTTAAACCAATGTAGTGATATAAAAAAAAGGAAGAGAAAGGAAATAAAGAAACAAATGCAATTACGGTTATTTATTTAAGGGTTTAATGCGGGACTCACAAAAAAAGAATACACAATTTTTGCATTTTTTTCAAAAGTAATTAAACTAATTAATGATTTCACATGATTTTTTGCTGCTTTTTTAAAAAATAATTAAGTTTATTAATCATTCTAATTAACTGGTCGCTTTAGTCATGAAGTGTGAAAATAGTTAAAAAATAAAAAACAGAATCAATTGCGGAAAAATACTAATTTGTTATCGGTACAATTAAAATTGGCCAGAATGAAATTTACCACCTTAAAATAAGTTGGGACGAAATCGACCAAAAAACCAAGCTTTAAGATTAAATCGGCAATTTTTCCCATAAAAACCCAAACACACTTCTCCGACCCATTTTGCCATACCGACCCGAGTCCGACTTTCTTAAAGGTCCAGTTGCCTGAGAACGAAAAGGAAAGGAAGCGACACTATTTTTTTTTTTAGTTTCCACAGCGGTAATTGCTTTTCCCGGGCGTTCATCACAAATCGAGAACTCAGGAACCCTAACCGCCTCTTCCCGGCGTTCTCGCTTCCTCCCTTGATCGGGCGGTAACCGGAGCACAATACTGTAGGAAAAAAACCCTAGCCCGATTGATTATCGGCAATTCTTTATTTAATTCATCTGAACCTGTCGTTGAAGTTGTTCGAAGGGGAAAAACCCTAATTTCGTACCGGCGATCGAGCAATGGGGAAGAAGAAGAAGAGAGCTCAAACATCTAAGGTGTGGTGTTACTACTGTGACAGAGAGTTCGAGGACGAGAAAATTCTGGTGCAGCACCAGAAAGCTAAGCACTTTAAATGTCATGTCTGCCACAAGAAGCTCTCCACCGCCGGGGGAATGCAAATTCACGTCCTTCAGGTTCATAAGGAAAACGTCACAAAGTTCGTTTCTTTGTCCCTTCCATGCTTCAATTTTTAGTTGTTCTTTTCCCCCCCTTTTGGGTTGACGTTTAGATTTTTTTTTTCTCTTTGTTTGTATTTTTTTTCCTTTTCCAGATTGTTTAATGCTCTTAATTTTGCTTTGAAATTCGTGGATGGAATTGGTTTTCCTGTTGATTTACGGAAGGTTGAATTTGATGGTTATTGGTATCATCTTGTATGAATTTTCTGTGCTTGGTAACTAATGGGAGAATGACTCGGAGCTTTTATTTAGCTTTAGATGTTGTTTGGAATTTCTGAAATATATCCTTAGGAAGATGTGGATTTGGTCTGCGACACTTACAGGAGTAGAGAATTTTTCAAATGCCTTTTATTCGTTGAAAAGCTATAAGAATTTTGTGTAAGCTGTGGTGATGGAAAGTTGATTGGTTTATGCTGACAGTAACTCTTTGTTGACTAATTTTGTACATCAAAGTAAATTTGAGGTGAAATTAGCTACAGATGTTGTGTCTTCTTCATCCTGCCCATGTGAGAACCAAGTCGAGTAAAAAGAAAATTAAGAAAGTTTTACAGTTTTTTTTGGGTGTTCTATATTCTCAGTTTCAAATACACTGTGTTAGTTTGATTTCATATATTTTCCCCTGAGAAACAACTTTCAGGATACCAACTTACAGCATGAAGTTTATGTTTGAAGATGTTCTAGGAATCTGATACCTTGCGATCGGGCATTGTCTGTAGATATTGCTGGTTCTTGTTTGACTATGTGTATGTAGAAGGAAAGCGAAGGTGTATTCAGACTACATATGTGCCCAATGGCAGTTAGATTTCTTGCACTGTTGAAATGGACTATTATTGTATTTCAATGTTTAAGCTTGCAACTCTATTGCTCATTTGTTTGTTCAGTTTTTTTGATGGTTTTTTTAGATTAATAAAATAATAACTGTTCCATCCCAGCATACCTTTTTACATTTCCAATACACCTTTTTACATTCCTAATACAAAAAACACCTAAAAACACACACTAAAAAAAGGAAACAAATGTTTCTTCTCTCCTTTGGCATGCTTCGGTTGTTATTTTCCTCTCACAAGATTTTATTTGGCATTATCGACGGTTTGTGTGCTAAAATGCTCTTATTGGTTGTATTTCATAACAATTGTGGCTGATGGGTGATTTTGTTGTCTCAGAGTGCCAAATGCAAAAGAAGGTAGGGACTCTACAGACATTGAAATATATGGAATGCAAGGGATTCCACCTGATGTTCTGGCTGCTCACTATGGAGATGAAGGTATTGATTTTTTCGCAATGTCTTCTGAGGATTTGTCTCTTGGTTTTCTCCATGAAGAATAATGTTGAGAATGGGAAACCATTGTTAAACCTTTCTCTAATAGACCTTTCAGAAAAAGATATATAGTGCATGCGATTCTATGATTGGAAATATTTGAAAGAGATTTGTTTAAACGGCTTTAGACCTGTTTCACGGTTTTGGCAGATGAACCCAAATATTTGATCATCGAACAAGTCATTTTTGCTTGTTTATATGCTTCCCCTCACGTAAATTGCTAGTCATTGCTTAATTTTCATTAGCATTTAATGTACTATACACTTCTTCTGTTGTGCATCATTATTTGTTCTTTTATGATTTTCATAAGCACTTAATCTTTTACCACGGCCCAGAGTTTTTTTTTCTTTTTTCCATTTGCCGTATCTTTTTAGGATCTAAACCTCATTTTTTTGCTGGAGAGAGGTTGATTAGGAATTGGTTTCTTACTAGTTGCATGACCTTTTATACTTTAGCTTCCATATTTTAGTTCTCTGCATTTTTTTGTTGTGCTGATTACTCCTTTCTGTTTCTGGTCTCATGCAGAAGATGAAACTCCATCAAAATCTGCCAAGGTAGATGCTCCGGCAACCCAGGGTGTTGCTGCCGTGCTTCCAGGGACATTAGGCGTGGGTTATCCTCATCGACCGAATCTTGTACCACTGCCTCCTCAGTATGTTTATATCAGAATTCTTGATGGTTATATATCCTTTTAAATGTGTTATAGAAATGCATTATCCTTTGTGCTAAATTTGTGAGTGCAAACAGTTTAATGAAGTGTGCTGAATATTTTTAGTCGTTATGGTTATTTTCCGTCCTACATTTTCTGATAATATCTGTTCTTTTAGGAATTAAAGACATGAAATGCATGCATTGACCGCTGATGTGTCATATCTCCTGCAAAGAAACTAGGTTTTCGCTTATGATACATCGTTTGATGGGGGATCCTATGATAATGGTTGCTGTGCTACTTGTCCCTTGCCCTTGCCTGTGTAGATATATTTTTGATATTTTAATTACTTGAAGAGATTTCCTTTAGAATTTTCATCGTCAATATTTGAAAATATCAATGAACTTCTTTTACCACCAAGCTTTGTCTGCTCGAGCTTCTATGTGAGGGTTTGCTAATTTGATATGTCATGGTTTAGAGTTAAAAAAAAATAGTTTTTGGCTTATTTTAAATGTTAGCTTATTTTGACATGTTTAGAGTCTGACTTAGCTGAAATCTGAATATTCTGGTTTGGTTCTCATTTGTGTAGTGTTTCTTTTCTGACGAGAGTTTCTGAATCTGATCTTCTTTCTCTAAACTTGATTTAATTGGCTTTATGATGCAGCTACAATCCTGCTGTGCCAATGCCTCCTGTTAATGCTGGCTGGCCAGCTCCCCCCCGCCCTCAACCCTGGTATCCGCAGCATCCTGCTGTTTCAGTACCACCGGTGACGCAAGTGGTCATGCCGCCACAACCTTTGTTTCCTGTTCAGGGTATGCGGCCCCCTATGCCACCTGCTGGACCTCTGGGGCTTCAAGTGACAATGCCTATGGTGCCTCCAGGGCTTCCTTCGTCTACAGCGCCTGTTCCTGTATCTCAGCCCTTATTTCCTGTAGTTCCAACTAACAATATCCCTGGTCAAGGTTCTCCCTTTTCCGCACCCACTATACCAACTAGTCTTCCTTTGAGCTCTCCTGCTGAATTGGCAAGTAATGCTTCTCTTACAGGTATTATATGCAACCTTTTTTTACCTTTTTGCTAATAGTTGAGCATGTGATTATTTTTCTTTGGAACTAATGCAATGATCCAAGTAGCCTATTTTGAATTTTGGTGCCGCTGCCTGTGATGCTGGGAGTTTTATTCTTTGAGATTTTGGGAATTGGAATGTTAAGGTGATGTGTGGGCTTGAATCATTTACACTGTGTAGTAAGTAGTTTTCACTTGGGTCCTTCGTACAGTGACCCTTTTTTGGGATTTTCCTCTATGGTTCACTCGTTGTTTTTTGGAAGTCATCTTGCAATGTGTGGGTATGAGTCTGGTCATATGATAAGCTGTTGCAGTTACTATCAGAAGTGGATATGTTCGTTTCCTCCCCCTCCATGTACCCTTTATATTAAGTTTTTTTTTTTCCTTAAAAAAAATATATATATATATATATATAATGTCTTTCTTTAGTTTCTTTCTAATTATCTTTTCCCTCCGTACTGTAATGTTGTCTTGTTTGGATTTTCATCTGCAGTACAAATAGTACGAAAAGTGAAAATTCGAACAGGACAATCATTTTGGGAGAGATGGGTCATTATATGCTAAGTGCCATTTTTTTCGGTCTCAGTATCTGCATCTTCTATGGCCTGTTGGCTACATAAAAAGATTGGGAATGGTTGCTAAGAATTCTATTTATTATTATTATTATTTTCTTTTTTGCTACTTGCATTCTTGATGTTCCTCATGGATATGCTTTAGACCTCTTCTTTATCTGCTAGAATATTTCTCTCATCATTTGATGCATGTAATTGATTTTCTTTGTTATGACCTGCAGCTGCCACCCCTGTGAATTCTCATTCGTATGCCTCTGGTCCAAATACTGGTGGTCCTTCCATTGGACCTCCACCTGTAATTGCAAACAAAGCTCCAGTCAGCCAGCCTGCGGGAAATGAGGTTTACTTGGTTTGGGATGATGAAGCTATGTCCATGGTCAGTAGCTTTCCTTGTGATTATTGTTATAAGCGCGTTTTATCTGCCTGCCAAATCTTTTTAAGTTGTGAACTGACTGATTCTGTATATATGTAGGAGGAAAGAAGGATGTCATTGCTGAAGTATCAGGTGCATGATGAGACTAGCCAGGTAAGTCGTAATTACCTCCTATTTAGAATTTTTCACACAGATGTGGACTTGAGTTGCTCCCACAGTCTGAATCCGTGTCTGACTTGTACAGATTCAGTTTTTAACACATTATTTCTTAAAGGTACTATATTTTGGTTGATTACATCCTGCCAATTTTGTTTGCCCCTCATATTTAGAAAACCTTGGTTTGAAATAAGCTCTAGCTGTTCTGTTATACATGTTTCTACTTTCAACACCACTAGTTGGTGGGGTCTGTTTATCATTATTGGTCATTCTGCGGTTGGCAAGGTATCCCGCCACATCAAAGATTCAAGTAGGTATTTTATCATCTTTTCTTATAAATAATGATTCCTCTTTTTGGCAAGCACGCTACAATCTTGTGGAGGCATCTCCATGCAACATTAAGAGCAGTGTGTATGTATCTGCTTTTTGAAAACTTTACTTTGTCTATTCTTTTTACTCTGTGGTTCGTGGTCATTAAGTGTGGGGTTTGGGTGGAAAAGATTACATTAACATACAGATATTTGTTGCCCATTCTTGTCAATCGTACTCTTTACTTAATGGCCGAACAGTGAATTCAATCTTGGCCCAGGTCAGCTTCTTTCACAGAGCTCGGGATTTAGCACCGAAGCTAGTTAAATTGTAGAATCACTCACCATGTTGATGTTGACTATGTCTCTGTTCTAACTTTTCTACTTTGGACGACCTGTTTCAGATGAGCTCAATTGATGCAGCAATAGACAGAAGGATATCAGAAAGCAGGCTTGCGGGTCGCATGGCCTTTTAGTTTTGATAGAGTTAGTTTGGTAGTAAGAAGAACATTTTCGGCTGAGGATGACCTCCGACGTCAACAGCAGAAAGGGGATACATTCAAGTGAAAATCAGTTCTTATTTTGGAATTCGCTTGAAGCAGCAGCCAGGCCAGTGTGATAGTTCCAGCTTCAGGGGTAACTTTTCAATATGTGTTGTAGTCTTTTAAGGCAAAAACTGCTGTAGGATATTGCATCATTCTTTTCATCCTTGAGTTGGAAGGTTCTGATACCTTCGTTTGAGGATTTTATGAGATTTTGAGCTGCGTGCTCGTAATGATATTAGAGAAATTTATAGATCATTTGTTGTCAACGCATAATATGCTAGGTTGGCCCTCCTATTTCTTTTCTTTTTGTCGATAGTTTATACGTTAAAGTACTTGATTTGTGGTGAACATGGCATGGCAAGGTTGGCATTTGATGAGTAAACTGGATTTTTGAAATTAGTCTTGTATAATCCTATGTTGGTCTTGTGTTCTGTCTTGCACAATTCTCTACCGTAGCGCTTAACTGAAGAGGATGTCATTTTGGTAGCCATTAAAATTTGTATTGAAAAAGAAGTCTTGCCGTGAAAAGTGAAAGATACCAGATTGGGGGAAAATTAAAAATCAACACTAAATATAGGCGCTCTGAGTTGGATTTATTGCTTGGCTGTTGGCACACACAAATTTACTTTTCTACAGAGCTATATTATTGCATGAAGTCAACTTCCTGTGAGCTATAAATGTAATATACATAGTGTTTTCAGTATATTTCCACATTATTTTCCTTCTTTTCTCGGATGGGTTTTCTTTTTTCCCCTTAGTCCAGATAATGCAATAAAATTAAATATCCTTGTTTGAGCTCCCAAGATAATTTTACTACTCCTGTCCCCTTTTTGGTTATAATATACTAACAAAGAGGTAAGACGTTATCTTAGCACATTATGCAGATGTATTACCCTTGCGTCATCTTGTTATTGTCACAATTTGATACTTCGGAGCAGTCTGGAGGCAATGTGACTTTCTTTCCGTCTCACATTAACAGTTTATTTCGTCGAAATCTAGCTTACAAACGACTTGTCTTGGCAAGAAATGTAGAAAGACAATCAATTGCATACATGAATAGAGCCGGAGTTAATCCAGCGGGTACTTGAAGCATTTTAACCAGGATAATTAACATTACTAGGCTCTCCACTGGCTGGGGTCTAATTAACCTACGTAGCTATAGCCTCTAAAAGTAAATGACTTTTGCAGTTTACACCTCAAAAAAATGAAAAAACAAAAGAGAAAGGAAAAATAAAAGGGACAATCCATGAAACTGTGACCCTACGGCCGAAAGAGTGTGCGTGTGTGTGTGTGTATTGGGAGTTTGGGAAGGTTTCTTAAAAGAGATGCATAATTTCCAAATATAAGCACTAACCCTTTTACCTTAAAAAGGACATTTCTTGAAGGTAAAACACAATTTCCTAAAGTGAAGACCCAAAGCCTTTCCATTTTGGAAAAGAAAGTGGCGGAAACCCCGAATGCAAATCAAATCACCTTAAAAATGAAATGATCAGATTGACAGAAACAACACAATGGGTCTGACACAGATTGACTACTTGGGCTCCCCCGCCCGCCCCCTTCTTTGGTTCAGATGAAGTGCCAAGTAGTAGTAAGTGGTACTGCAGTCGTCTGCCTGACTTAGATCTTTTGCTTTTTCCCTTTAGCAAAAACTTGTGTAAAAAGCCAAGGTAGTTTCAGAGAAAGGAGAATATTATTACTCACACAAAAGGGAAAGAAGATCTTACACAAGTGCATGTGTAAGTTATTATTATCATGACTCATCAAATATGTTATTTATGATCAGTTTTGACACTTGTTTCTATGCATACCTAGTTCAAGTTGCCTATACATCCAACATCATCATCATCATCATCCATCATCAGACTCAAAGCTTCCTTTTCTCTGGATTTTCATTTGTTTTCACATTTAACAGTGCAGAAATAACACTTTTCATTTTTTTCCACTGAGACTGGTAGATGGGATTGGGGGGTTCGATTTCCAGAAGTTACAAAACCCATGCAGATTTAAGATTATTAATAGTCGTACTAGAAATTTGTAGCTGTATATAGATAGTGATGAGGAGCAGCTTGTTGTAAACAACTGTAGAAAACCATGCAATAGTCTTGTATCCAGATGACTATAAGGGTTGCTGCTTGTTTTCAGTTTCTTGGAATGGATTATGATTTTAGATGGTTAAGACTCTTTTAAAGATCCACCCCAACTCCCTAGGGATCACGGTTGAATTCGAACCCCGGCCGGGTTCTGCTTTGGTTAGAAAAACAACAATGGGAGAAAGGAGAAATAAAGGATGATTAAGTTATTGGTTTTCAGCCATTGCCATATAAAGTCTATTTCTTAACCATGGCGAACACCAATTTAGGTCTTTCTCCAGATGAAGAAACTCTCAATTCATTTTAAAGTTTGTGACACTTTTTGGTGTGGGAGTTTGTCATAACATTAAATTTTCTATCTGATCAGTGCGTGCTTCTGTGCTAAGCCACATTTGCAGTCAGCATTGGCAGAAGGCTTTTGTCCTTCTCTTCCTTCCTCGGCTTTGACAAGAGAAACACTGAAATGATAGATGTATCCATCTAATCTGACTCTTCTTTCTACTGCATGCCTACTGTTATTTTCCCAGTATGAAGCAGACAAACACACACACACACACACACACACACACACACAGAATGGGCAAAGGAATAGAAGAAAAACATGTTGGAAAAAACAGATTTCTCCATCCTATATAAACACCTGTCCACTTAAGCTGAAGTTTCACAATCTAGGAAATCCAAAATCTCCTCCCAAATTTCATGCAATCTTGCTTCCACTAAAAAAATGGGTTCGTTTACTTATAAGTTGACTTCAGTTTAGAGCAACTTCTTCAACTTCCTCTTTTCTTCCACATCCATTGAAAATTCAGGAAGCATACATGAAAGCCTTTCTATTTTCCTGCAACCTTAACTTATCACCAGAAATGAAATAAACCACCTTGGAAATTCCTTCTTGTTTTCCAGTTCACCAGTTGGAAAAAGGGCTGCTAGAATGACTGTTTAATAAATCAGATCATAACCCTTTTCTTCTTTTCTAGCACTTGAAACCTTTTTTACTTGCTAAAAACCTAACTGTTCCCGCAAAAACAATTTCATCATCATCATCAAAATGGAAACTTTCCATGCCCCACTTGGTGCTCTTCCTTTTCCTTTCAACTTTACCATACCTAGCAACCAAATTGCAGCTTTTGCTTCCCCTGCAAATAGCATAACTCCATGGATGGATAGCAGGATATGGAGCAGGCTCCCACAAAGGCTAATTGATAGAATCATTGCCTTCCTTCCAGTCCCTGCCTTCTTTAGAGCCAGAGCAGTTTGTAAAAGATGGTACAGCCTCTTATTCTCCAGCAGCTTTCTTCAGCTGTACCTCCAAGTTTCTCCTCGCAGCCATTGGTTCATATTCTTCAAGCAGAAGACCTTAAAGAACTTTGTCTACAGAAACAACAGCAATGCTGACAGCAGCGGCAACAGCTGTAACAGAATCATCAATGAAGGTTACCTTTTCGATCCGTCCGAGGAGAAATGGTACCGAATTTATTTCCCGTCAGTCCCACAAGGCTTCTCCCCAGCAGCATCCTCAGGTGGGCTGATTTGTTGGGTGTCTGAAGAAGCAGGTTCAAAGAACATCCTTTTGTCTAATCCAGTTACAGGGTCACTAAGTGCCCTGCCTGCAACGTTAAGGCCAAGGCTTTTTCCTTCAATTGGCCTAACAATCACAAACTCATCCATCGATTTAGCCGTCGCGGGAGATGACCTGATATCCCCTTATGCAGTGAAGAATCTCAGCACTGAAAGCTTTCATGTTGATGCTGGAGGGTTCTACTCCATATGGGGCACAACCTCAGCTCTGCCAAGACTCTGTAGCCTTGAATCAGGAAGAATGGTTTCTGTTGCTGGAAGATTTTACTGCATGAACTACAGCCCTTTCAGTATCTTATCCTATGATGTTGGATCAAATGAATGGAGCAAAATTCAAGCACCAATGAGGAGGTTCCTGAGGTCACCAAACCTGATCAGATGCAAAAGGAAGCTGGTTTTAGTTGCAGCTGTGGAGAAGAGTAAGCTAAATGTGCCAAAGAGTTTGAGACTGTGGGCATTGCAAGAATGTGGGAATAACTGGGTAGAGATTGAGAGAATGCCGCAGCAGCTTTACCTTCAGTTTTCAGATATGGAGAATGGCCAAGGGTTCAACTGTGTTGGATATGGAGATTTTGTTGTGATTATGATCAGAGGAAAAGCTGATAAGGCCGTGATGTTTGATTTTTGCAGAAAAAGATGGGTTTGGATTCCTCCTTGTCCATACATCAATGGCTACGCCGGTGCTGGTGCCGGTGTCGGAGGGGGTTACGGTGGAGATCATCAAGCTGCTGATGAATTGCATGGCTTTGGATATGAACCTAGGCTTGCTACCCCAGTTACTGCACTGCTTGATCAGTTAACACTTCCCTTTCAGTCTTTTAATGTTTAGTTCAAATAATTATTAGCCCTTTTGGTTTTTATATGTAAGATTTACTTATAAATTGTGTTTGTAGCAGTAGTATCTGTTATGGGCTAATCGCGAAAGTTTTAGCAATATTATAAGAAGCATAACTAACTAGTGGACTTCTGGTAGAAAAAAGATGGAAGAAACAAGAAAGTAGAAAAGCAAACTACTATAATAATTAAGGTATATAAATGGTGTGGACTGTGGGCATGCATGCATGATAAATTGTAGAGCTATATGAAAGGCACGACGACACGAGACTTGGTATTTTTTGGTATTTATATACTCCCTCTGTCCCAAAATTATTGTCCATTTTGAGATTTCAACTTTAGTACAATTTGAACTAGAAATGAAAATCTAAACTGGATAATAATTATGGAACGGAGGGAGTATATTTTTATTTTATAGCCGAAATCATTACCTTATTCAGATTGAACTGAAAGTCAGACACGTTAATATTGTTATAATATGCATGCTGCGCTTGTATAAAAAAACATATACTCCCTCTGTCCCATAATTATTGTCCAGTTTGAATTTTCATTTTTAGTTCAAATTGTACTAAAAGTGAAATCTCAAATTGGACAATAATTTTGGGATGGAGAAAGTATTAAAAATGTGGAACAAATCATATCCACTTCCCCTAATGTTTCACTAAATCATCAAACAAATCTCAACGATCAATTTTTTTATTTTTTATTTTGTATCAACTATTTGACTTTTCAGATTTGCGATATTTGGATTAGTTTATGTTTAATGGCCGATTGAAAAGATTGGGAGTTTGATGATTAGGGATATTATAGTTAAAAAAGAAATATTGACTAATAGCGGCGATATGGAGTTAATCATCCATCAGATAGTTTGAATTTGCTGTTAAATGGATTGAAACGTTGAATACTTCAAATCTTATGAAATTTCAGTGTGATTTTTTTAGTCGATTTCTCATTACAAAAAGGCAAAATGCTCTCTGCGTAGTAAGTAGACTTAAGGACAAAAAAGATGGAGACCTGGTCGCTTATCTTCTTCTCCACCATTTCTCTCTGCATCTTCACCATCGTCTTCAAATCCATCACTTCCAAAATTGTATCCTTAAACAACGACAAACCAACCTTAAAAAGGCTTCCACTTCCACCTGGACCCTCAACCCTCAAAGTTATCAAAAGCTTTCTCATCCACATATGGCACCGGAGCACGGTTTTCGACATGGAGTCAAAGCTCCGGCAGGTCAAACTCCGGTACGGCCCGCTCTTCTCCTTAGGACTCAAATCGAAGCCCACCATTTTCATCGCCGGCCACAGTTTAGCCCATCTCGCCCTCATCCAAAAGGGTTCTGTTTTCTCGAGCCGGCCCACTGCCCACAACGCCACCTTCTCCAAAATCTTCGATAGCAATGCCCACAAAATCTCCACCGCCGCCTACGGCGCTACGTGGCGGCTCCTCCGCCGGAATCTTTTCTCCGAGATGCTCCATCCTTCCAGGGTCAAATTGTATTCCAGAGCTAGAAGATGGGTTCTCAGCTTGTTGATTAGGCAGTTGATTGGTCAGAATCCCCAGCCGATTCAAGTGTTTGAGCATTTCAGGTATGCAATGTTTTCATTGTTAGTGTTCATGTGCTTTGGAGACAAGCTTCCTGAGGAGAAAATCAGGGAAATTGAGGGTCTACAGAGGAGGTGGTTGTTGAGTCTGGGTAGATTGAATATGTTCATAATTTGGCCTAAATTAGGGAAGATTTTGTTCGGGAAACAGTGGGAAGAGCTTTTTCAAGTGAGGAATGAACAAGTAAACACATTTCTACCGCTCATTCGAGCCCGAATAGATAGAAAAGAACAGTCAAAATCGGATGCCGTAGATGAGCCAGTTGCGTATGTTGACACTTTGTTGGATCTGCAATTGCCTGATGAGAGCAGAAAACTCAATGACCAAGAACTGGTCAGTCTTACCGGAGAATTCCTCAACACCGGCGCCGATACAACCGCCACGGCGCTGCAGTGGATCATGGCTAATCTGGTGAAGTACCCTGCTATCCAGGACAAGCTATTTGAAGAGATTGTTGAGGTTGTTGGACAGCCAAAAGCTTTATCAATAAGCGTCGAAAATGATGAAGAAGATAACCATTCTGAGGATGATTTGCTTGAGGGATTATGTGTGAAGGAGGAAGATATAGAGAAAATGCCTTACTTGAAAGCAATTGTGTTGGAAGCGCTCAGGAGACACCCTCCAGCAAACTTTGTGCTGCCACATTCAGTCACCGAAGACGTCGAATTAGAGGGCTATTTGATCCCTAAGAATGCTACTGTGAATGTAATGGTGTCTGATTTGGGATGGGATCCTAATGTGTGGGAAGATCCTATGGAATTCAGGCCTGAGAGATTCTTGCTTGAAAGAAGCAGCAGTGCTAATAATGATTCTGCTTTGTTTGACTTAACTGGGAATAAAGAGATAAAGATGATGCCATTTGGGGTTGGGAGAAGGATGTGTCCTGGATATGGATTGGCATTGCTGCATTTGGAATATTTCGTCGCCAATTTGGTCTGGAACTTTGAATGGAAAGGTGTTGATGGTGTTGAGGTTGATTTGTCTGAGAAGCAAGAGTTTACTGTTACCATGAAGAATCCACTCCGTGCTCACATCTCACCCAGAATCCAATAATCTGTTTGATTTGATCACCATGATGATTAATTTGCTTGTTCATCTTTCCTTAGTTGTTGCAGAATCATGCTGTTATCTATGTGCATTTGATGAATCTGATTCTGATCTCTTACGGATGAGGAGATAATCTGTTCGTGTCAGTGTATTAACTACTTTAGTATGACTATTTAATTATGGAGTACTCCGTATATCTTATGGCCAATGGATCAATCATGATTAAATTTTTAACCAAAAAAAATCATGATTAAATCACCCCATGATGCAATTTTCAGCCGAATCTGAGCTAATTAAAGCGTTCTGAGCGGAAACATATCACATTGTATTATTCTTTCCGTCCCAAAATGAATACTGTATTTTAATTTTACATACTAGAATAATACTCGCACATTGTGCGGACACGATACTCTCCCAGAACAAAAAATAAAATTGTTTATGTTAAGTATTTTGTATTCACGGCATTTTTTAAGTTCAAACCATAAAATATAATATAGATTACCTTTTTGAGACTTGAAAAGTATTATTTTAATTTAATAATTCAATAAATATAACTGCTGTTTGAAGAGAGTTGTATAAGAAAAATATTATTGACGATAATTAATTTATATTGACCAAAAAAGTCTGGGGACAAAATTAAGAAAACGTTCTTTTGATTTGTTTAAACTCTAAATTATTTTTTTTTATTTATTGTCTAAACTCTATCTCCAAATCTACAAAGAAACATAAATTGTTGTCTAACACACTCGTAGGGCTGTCAGTTCGAGCGGTTTGGGCGGTTCAGCCGATATTCGGTTCTTTTTAATCGAACTTTTACTCTCACAGGAACCGTCCGAAACCAAACCGCGAAATTAATTCCACCGAACTGAAACGAATCGAATAAGCAATCGGTTTTCAGTTCGGTGTCCTGTTCAACCGAATTCAATATTGAACAAAAAAAAAAAAGACCAAAAGAAAAAAAAAATCCAGAATAAATTACAAAACAAATGACACAAAATCAAACTTCAAAATCTAAAATCCAAACTACAATTTCAAAGGGACAAAATGCACTTTTCATCTCTCACCTTTTGGGGATAACAAGATCTAGTCACTATGAAGCTTCAATTGGTAAAAATAGTCCACTAAAGTATTTTTGTCATCAATTTTAGTCAATTTAACATAATTTTTTCAAAATTAACGGGTCAGTCCTTCTTTCCATTAAATTTCCAAATTTTTATTAATTTTCTGAATGGTGAGGCCCACTATTTGACCCAATTTTTTTTTTTCAATTTTACTTTTTTGGATTTTTTTTTTACTCCTCCGTTTAAACGATACTTTCTTCTTCTTCAAAACCCCATTTGGTTCTAACCCTTTGCCGCCGAAGTTGAGAATTTGAAGGGCAATATTCAGTCTAAAATCAATAAAACCTAATAAAGATCACCAAGAAAATCCACTCGACATAAAATAATTACTTAATCTCTCACAAGAACAGAATTTAAAAGTTACTTTTCAGGACTCTAAATTGAACGTTGAAGAAAAGATCTCATCTTTACAAGAGAGACGGTACAATTCAATCACAATCAGTCCGAAAACCATCATCAGAAGGAACCCAATAACTAACCACGTAACAATCAAAAGAAATTCCCCGAATCCTTCACCGGCGACATAAGGCATCTATTCAGAATGATGATTACACGGCCAATTGAAAAAGAAAGAAAAAAAAAACAGAGCACTTCCAAGAGGAGGAGGAGTATTTACTGTGAAAAAAACCATCAAACCACAACAATTACTTGCAAGCCAAAAATGCCACGAACACTGTACTTTATCCAGAAACTCACGCCCTGAAATCCAATCCTCCAACATTACTTTCCCAACACCGCTTCACATCATCTCTCTCGAATATTCTCACCGTTTTGCTTTATCACTCTTGAAGGTCCATATAAGCCCACATGTGGTTCCACCTCAAAATCAATTGGCAATGAGGAGAGTAGCACATGGGGTATATATATTGAGTTCAAGAGTTTTCATCCTTCCATGTGGGACAAGGGAACATGAGGTAATTTCTTTCTTTTCATTCATTTAACACACCCCTCTCAAGCCCAATGGGCTTAGACGGGAAATTTTATATTTTTTTTCTGATTTTTTTTCAGTCTTTGATCGGGTATTTTCCTAGATAAACCGTCGCCTGCCAAGTCAGTCAAAATTCAAAGTCAAACCCCGGATTTCTTCCGTGGGTTGACCAAAGTTTCAAGATCCAATCTGGGTCAGTCCACCTCGCCTCACAAGTCCCACAGGTCTGCGGATTAAAACTCGCTCTGATAACATCTTGAAGGCCCATATAAGCTCACATGTGGTTCCACCTCAAAACCAATTGGCAATGAGGGGAGTAGCACATGGGATATATATATTGACATAAATTGTATTGTATAATTTTTAACGTCAATGTGTTTGTTATTTTAAGTACATAAGAATAATTTTTATTGTACTTCTTGTTCATCTTTTTCGTTTTGCTGATCTATGGATTTATATCTTTTAAAAATATTTTCTTAATTTTCCATCATATTTCTCTAAATATTTCTACCCGTGTCATATTTTTTAAACTCTCCCTCTACCAAATTTTTGTTACATCTCTCTACATACCTCATGCAACCTTTCTTTAGAAGTTTGTTCGTTAATTTTTCCTATAATATAGTGTTTACTTCATTTTTATTTTATTTTTTTGAAAAGGAAAACCTTACTTCATTTTTTTTTCCTGCTTTCACAGCCTTTTTTTTCCTAAATTTGATAATCTCTCTTTAACGCTTCATTCTTGAAATTTTTTTTACAATTGTTCCATTTTCACTGTTATCTCAATTTTTTTTTCATATTTTCTTATTCTCTACATAATTGTTTTCTCCATGTAATTTTTTTTAAATTTCTCAAAACCAATAGGCACTACTACTTTTTTTATTTTATTTTTTCAATTTTTCTAAAAGTATATTACTATTTAAAAATTTTATAATCGAAGCACTACTAACTAAAATAAAAACCAATACACTAACTAATAATAAAAAAACCGATTAATGGTTACACTTTAACACATAACTATAAAAATCAATATTGATCAGTGAATTGGTTTTTCTCATCATGGCCGTCGGGGAATTTTATTTTTTTTTCAACATCAATTTTTTTTTTATTTCGATTAGTTATCTTCGGATTTATTAGTTTGAAGTTTCTTTTTGGCCACCTCTCTTTTTTACTATTAAAATTCATCATTAAGGGGTAATCTTCTATATTACTAAAATTTGGCCGCTTAATATATAATGATATTATTAGTATTATTATTTTTTACTATTTTTTCTTTTGTAATTTTTCCACAACATAATCAAAAATAATTATTTAATAATATTAGTTAAGTGGCAAAAAGTATATTACTAATAAAAAAAATTTATAACCAAAGCACAATACACTAACCAATAAAAAAGAAAAAAAAAACCTGATTAATAACTTTAACATATAACCATAAAAATCAATATAAAAAAAACCATAAAAATCAATATTGATCGAATTGGTTTTTCTCATCATGGTTGTGGGGTGTTTTTTTTTAACTTCAAATTTTTTTTTTTAATTTTTTCATTTCACTTGATTATCTCTAGTTTATTAATTTGATTTTTTTAAAAAAAATCAATATTGATCGAATTGGTTTTTCTCATAATGGTTGTGGGATTTTTTTTTTGAACTTCAAATTTTTTTTAAAAAAAAATTTTCATTTCACTTGGTTATCTCTGGATTTATTAGTTTGAAATTGTTTTTTGGCCACTTCTCTTTTTTTAATGTCGTATTTGCAATTGATAGCAAAAGGAAATAAGTTTACCTTTTTTTTTCTTTCTTTAATTTTTAATTAATTTAGTTTTTTATCTATAAATTTATAATTTTATATTAAAAAATTACTATTAATTTTTCGCCACGTGGATTAATCTATCTAATTTTGTGCCATGAGTCCGATTGAAAACTCTCCTTTAATATATATAAAAATCTATCTATACCATTTATAAAAGGCTCAATCCGGAGAAATGGGCCTGTTCACGCCCGGTTCCGGGTCCAAAATCGCTGACATATCACGCACTCCTTATTTCTGTTCCCACGCGGACGGGGAACTTTCGGTTAGCAACTGTGCCATCTCATTCACGCCTTCACGGTGTGCGGCTGTGCACTAGATTTCCACCGTCGGTAGTTTGTGGCAGAGTGTTCTTCCTTCTTCTTTACTTGTTTCGTTTTTTTAGTGTGTGTTTTTACGTGTTTTTTGTATTGAGAATGTAAAAAGATGTATTGAAAATGGAGAAAGTACGCTGGATGGGACATCCCTTTTACCCTATTAAAGCAGAAAATATGATGCTGATGTGGCAATTTCTTATTAAAATGTTTTGGCTCCAAATGCATCATATTGTACAAACCATTCTGCCACGTGTCACCCCCTTTTAAAAACAAAAAATATATTTACAATATTAATGAAAAGATTAGATGACCATGTCCATTCAAATTTTGAATTTGACAGTGAATGAAACTTTCCTTCTCCACTTATTTAGGACTTTCAAAAAAATTAATTTTCGGTCAATCAATTATCTTCATAAAAAACTAAATTCATTCCTAATTTGTTTTGATTATTTACATATCAATTTATTAGGTGGGAGGACGCCCCCGGGCATTTGGCCGGGGCAAGCATCTAGTTTATTACTCCCTCCGTCCCATAATTATTGTCCAATTTTATTAAAATTTAAGATTTTATTTTTGGTCAAACTTAATTATATTTTACCTTAAACAACCGGATATACCCCTACATAAGTAATTGTTTAACCACTAAGATTTTATGGGTAATGTTTTTTACTAAGGACAAATATGTAACTTGATCCATAAAAAGTCAAATTGGACAATAATTTTGGGATAAAATTTTTTGGGCAAAGTGGACAATAATTATGGGACGGAGGGAGTATTATATTATTATGCAAAAAACTTTAAAAAAAGGAAACAAACGTATTAAAGTCCAAATTCCCGTTTGTATCTTTCTTTTCTCAGAGTAAAGAGTTCCAGAAGCCATAGCGGATCAGGAATTCCTAAAGACATGGAGGTGAACGAATACCAGAAGGATTCCCGTTTGTTTCTTTCTTTTCCCAAATCAAGGTTCGTATTAGTAGTGAAGAATCGAAATTGTTTGGGATATTCTTCATTTCTGAATATTTTGCCTACCAATTGCTACGTGTTTCACTATCAAGTTTCCACCGGTACCAATTCGTGCCTTTTCTCCTTTCTTTTTCGCACTCCTTGTAAGATTTCGGCTTTGTTCGATTCTTTGCAGCAGAGCAACGATTCTTCCGGAAAAAAAGCGGTACAAGATTCCTCTCAAGAGAAAAGTTCCCCCCAAATCCAGGTTCGAATTTCCCCAAACTCTTGTGTGTTCTCGGCATGTGGCAGCAATTTTTCCCTTTAAATTAAATCTACACGAGTCGATCCGTAAAAATTTGATGGCGGGTAATCAATCATGATTAGGTTTTTAGCTTTAATGTCGAATGAGTTTTCTGGAGTTTCCAATTTGGACCCAATTTAGGAGTCCAGTTGTTTTTAGTTTCTCAATTGCGTGTTTGGACGGCCATATTTTCAGAGTAAAGAATCAAATAGTTTTGGGGATATTTAGCTAAATTGATGATATTCTCATACGTGTAAGTCCTTCCATGTGTTCAAGCAGACAAGTTGAAGTTCGTTGCTTAACAGAGCCACAATCCTTCTTAAATTAGTGGGCAAATCCTCTACAATAAAAACTCTACTAAACTCCTGTGTGCCTTTGGTGTGGCGGCAATTTTTCACTTTTTAGATCTGCATAAATGGTTGCATTAGAATCCGAATTTGGTGAATTGCGCGGTAATAAACTTTTAATCCATTTGGGGTGTTCATTTGGCAAAAACTTGGAAAAATTGAGCCTTTCTTTTGGAAGGTTTTCGTTCTGCAATGCATATTTGTCTGTTGCTCAGCGTGTGTATTTGGAAGTTGGTTCAAAATTATGTTTTAGCATGTTAAATGTCTGACATGTGTTTGACTTCGGGCTGCAAAGAGATCTATTTTAACATTGAGTTTCTCATAAAATGATATAATTTTTTGGTGGCATGTGAAGTGTTTGTAATTCCGGAGCTTTTAAATTGGTCATTATAATCGATTTTTAATAGTGAGGAATTGAATTTACATTGGATGAATGATATTACAACTTCAATAGAAATTTACATTCAATGTACATTGGATGAATGATAGCTAGGGATCCGATGATGAAATTAGAGATGGATACTCAGTGGAAACTGTATTTGATGGAAGTAGGCTTGGAATTGATCTTCACTTTGTGGAATTGTTACCCAACGGAGAAGTTATACTGGATTCTGCTAATAGCAAGCTTTACAGGCTCTCTTTCTCATTGTCTCTGTGTAAGTTTTTTTTGAGTATCTTCCTTTTAGCTGCCTTTTAAAGGTGTTATTCTGATTTGTATGGCTTCTGTTTACTTTACACAAATACAATTGCTTAATAGGTTCACTTATCGATCGTGAAGAAGACATTTGCCATAATATAGAGAATGTTAGGTAAAGTGTTGTACGAAAAAGTGGCATGGGGGATCCACTTATGTATGTGATAAGCCATTGAAGATACATTGACTTTGTCTTTAATGGAGTTATACTTTAATATGCTGCTGAAGATATATTTTGATGCGTTTGAGAATTTTCAGATGCTAGACCAAAACTTGTATCTGGATCTGCTGAGGGATATTCAGGACATATAAATGGGAAGTCTAAGGAAGCTAAGTTGAAACATCCCATGGGGCTCACAGTTGATGAAACATTGCCAATCCTGACAATATGGCAATCAGGAAGATAGGTGACACAGGTCATCTACCATTTCTTTTAATAGCTTTATGGAAGATCAAATATTGTTGGAAAGCATTGAGAGTATAAAGATTCTTGATACTTTCTGAAAAGAAAAAACGATGGTTTGTGTATGCATAACCATGTTTGGACATGATGTTGGACAACTTAATTTGGTTTCGCTATGAATTCTTTTTGCAATCTGTAACTCTTTCCGTGTCAAAATGGAGTTCATCTCTTTTGTGGTGAAAACATTATTCGAGAAGTTCTTAACAACGGCATCCTTTTTGCAGGAACCACTACATTGCAGTAGGCAAGAAGAGTTGAGGAGATTGGTCTCATTGTATCTGCTCAAAATGTAAGTTTAAATTTTTTTGATGCTTGTGTTCCTGTTCAAATTATACACGCACAAATTTACTCTATTAATATAGGAGTGTAAAATCCTGAAGAAAGGTAAGCGAAAAGTAGTTTCCTGAGTAAGGGTTAATCAAATGCACTTTTGCTATCCCTTTCAGTTCTTTGCTTCTGATGAGAGAATAAACGCTTTAAGACAGATGATAATGGCAAGTACCCTTAAGCAGAAGAAGGCAGCCCTGGAATTGTTGTTGCCTTACCAACGATCTGATTTTGAGGACATTTTCCGTGCTATGCATGCATTAGACAATCTCCAGCATCTCAAGCCATTTCCAAGCCATTTTATTAAAGCCCAGAGTTGCTATTACAGTTCTTGAAGAACATGAGATGTAAGAAAACTACAATAGGTAGAAACTCGAAGTCTTTGGAATCCCATTGATACAGCCTCTTGTATATAAAAAGTGTACTCAACACTCTGTTAATAGTATCTATCAAATAAATAAGTTTAACATTATAATTTATTTATTAACTTTACAACTAACAAAACTATTCATGGAATACTAATGAAACCCAAAGCAATTTAACGTGGATTTATGTCACCAAGACTTTCAATCACCACCTGCTAACTTATTTGGTTATCAAAATTCAAAAGGCCAAATTAATGTTAATAAAAAAAAACGACCAAATTAATTTGCACAGATACTCCGGGTGAAGGTGCGGCACCTTCCCTATATATATATATATATATATATATATATATATATATATATATATATATAGGACTTATAAAAAAAAATTTAAACTAAACAATTTTTTTTATGATACAAGAAGACTTGTTTAAAAGAGAACAACTTTATTAATAAGTTTCAACATAAATTTTGATATTGATGGTTGAAAATTTCTCAAATTTTATATTTTCACGTCGATGCGAAATTCACAGTAATTAGTTTTGAGTGGAAATTTTGTATGGACTAGAAAAACAAGTCCACACATTTAAAATTTTATTATCAACTTTTTAATGTTGAAATTAAAAATTTTCTATGATTAAAAAAGATTGTGATTTTTTTTTAAATCTCTGGATTGAAGAAAAGAGTCGAAATTTATTAGTAAACAAATAACCTATACCTTCTAAACTACCTGAAGATTATTATTACTCCCTCCGTCCCATAATTATTGTCCAATTTTACTAAAATGAAAGATTTTATTTTTGGTCAAACTTAACTATATTTAAATTTAAACAACCGGATATACCCCTACATAAGTAATTGTTTAACCACTAAGATTTTATGGATAATGTTTTTTACTAAAAGACAAATATGTAACTTGATCCATAAAAAGTCAAATTGGACAATAATTTTGGGACAAAATTTTTTGGACAAAGTGGACAATAATTATGGGACGGAGGGAGTATTTTTTTTTTTTGGGAACAGATGGGGTAAACTAAATGTTGTTAGTATTTTTGGAATAGAGGGAGTAAATTGTTGTTCTAACAAGGTTGAGGGTTCAATTGGCAACTGTCATTAAGGCTATTCTCTTCAATTTTGACTCAATTGATCCATAACTTGGGGAAAAAGCCAACTCTAACCAAATCTGAGGCTTAATATAGACAACCCGGCCAAGTTCCTGACGGACCCGACCGATTCACAATCGTCTCCCGCTACTCCAGTCTACTTGTTCATTCAGGTAATTTCTACCTCTCTGCTTTCGAATTTCTGGTTTTTTTTTAAAGGGATTTTGTCTGTGTATTGAGTTTTTAGCCGCGCTTCAACGGCCGGAAGTGTTATTCAAGCTCTTAGGGTAACGTCATTCTTGTTTAGGTGGTGATTGGGTTCTATGCAAAGATTGTTTCGTTCCTTATCGATTATCGTTTATACTGAGTTAGATTTTTCCCCTTCTTTATACTAGTTATAATTCACCAATTTTAGGTCTTTTGTTGGTTCTAAAAGGGAAAAGATTTGATTCTTCTCTTATTAATACATGCTCATTGTAGTAAATTTGGCGGAGGATTGAATCTAATTTCATGAGATTCATGTCTGTTTGGGCTTCTAGGTAATAGATTGGAGTTGAGGACCGGTGATTTTGATATAATCTGAAGTCACAAATCTGCTTTGCTTTCGCTGTTTCAATGATTATCTGTGACAGCTTTTCTGTATTTCATTGCTTGTTTATCTGATCTACGGCATGAATTGTAAAGAAATTGTACCATTTTGGTTTCTGTTTGAAATACTGTGGTATGTTTCTGTTCTTTGATCTTTTGATGAATTATATCGGCGGATCTTTCTTTAAATCTGTGTAAATGATTCATGTCTTGTAAATTTGAATGCGTGGTTTGTTTTTTTTACTCTAGTTCAAGATAGACTTCTGTTATGTCAAATTCGTTTTTTTTTTTTCTTTTGATGAGTTTTATGATTTTTAAAGACAACAAAAAACGAAAATTGAAATGGGTTTTCATATTTTCTTAATGTTTAGTGTTGCTTGTGGATGGACCTGGAGTGATTTCAACTGTTTGTGTGTGTGTGTGTGTTTTTTTTTTTTTTTTTCTACTTATTGTTGTTTTGATCGTATGGGCTGCATTAAGAGAGCTGTATACTTATAACTAGTTGTTTGTTTCCCATTTGTTTGGTCAAGTGCAACCGTTATTGATTGTTAAACTCAATTCACGTAGTAGTTTCGCTAGACCTTGAATAAGTTTTGTATTTGAAGCTTATGACTTTACTTTTTCAGAGTTGGCCATGTTGCATAATGTTTATCTAGATTACTTGCATAGAAATACCTTGGGTAGTTCATTAATTTTTTGAGTTTGTGAGTTTGAATGATGGAGATTTGGTATGGTACATTATGAGTTAATTGTAAGATGGTCTAAAATCCTGTGCCGGAAAGAGAAGGAGGAGAATGATTTGGAAATTTTAATAATGGTAAACCACCCAAAAAAAAAAAAAAACTAATAATGTAAGGATGGGAGATGTCTAAAGCCATGACTGGTGTTTTTGGTTTGCAGGGGCTTGGGAGAATCTTTTTTTTTTTTTGGGGGTGGTTGGTTGTAAGATTCCATATGCTTTTTCTTCTTCTTAATGCTAGCATCTCAATAATGATTGCTGTTGTCACTGATATGTTTTTAATTGACTCTCATGTCTCATGTCTTTGAGTGATCTTCTTTAATGTATTATCACGTAGCCTCCTATTTTTACTTTTGCTTACCATCTAATGTTTTGTAGATAACACAAGATGTCACGAAGATATGATAGCCGTACAACAATATTCTCCCCAGAAGGTCGTCTATACCAGGTTGAGTATGCAATGGAGGCCATTGGCAATGCGGGAAGTGCAATTGGAATTTTGTCCAAAGACGGGGTTGTATTGGTAGGTGAAAAGAAAGTCACTTCCAAGCTTCTTCAGACTTCAACATCAACTGAAAAGATGTACAAGATTGATGACCATGTTGCATGCGCTGTGGCTGGTATCATGTCTGATGCCAATATTCTGATTAACACAGCCAGGGTTCAAGCTCAGCGTTATACTTATGCTTATCAAGAGCCCATGCCTGTTGAACAGCTAGTCCAGTCACTCTGTGATACGAAGCAAGGGTACACTCAGTTTGGCGGGCTCCGTCCTTTTGGGGTTTCATTTCTTTTTGCTGGCTGGGATAAAAACTACGGTTTCCAGCTTTATATGAGTGACCCAAGTGGAAATTATGGTGGATGGAAAGCTGCTGCAATCGGAGCCAATAACCAGGCAGCCCAGTCAATGCTAAAGCAGGACTACAAGGATGATATGAATAGAGAGGAAGCAATTCAGCTTGTTCTTAAGGTGCTTAGTAAGACTATGGATAGCACAAGCCTGACTTCGGAGAAGCTTGAGCTGGCTGAGGTCTTTTTATCCAATGGGAAAGTCAAGTACCAAGTGTACTCCCCAGAAGCACTGAATAAGTTGTTAGTAGATTCTGGATTAACTCAACCTGTGGCAGAGGCTTAAGACAACTATGCAGTTCGTTTGGGAATTTGGTTGGAACTTTAGCGTTTGCAACTTTATGGTGTTTTGTAATCGTTAAAGATGGGATTTCTCGCTTAATTTAATCACTTTTTGTGTTACATGCTAGAACTTCAAGATTTCTGACTGATTAGCGTCCAATGTGCATCAACTTTGGTTTAAATCTTGAATTTTCCCTGATTGTTAGCATTTCACATCTGGTTCCAATCTAGAATTTTGCCTGTTTGTTAACATTTTAATTCTGTATAATTTCTAGGATATGGAAAAGTCGCAGATGTTTGTCATCTTCATAGACCCTCCTAGAAAATGTGACAGATGACCGTGCTGCAAAGAAAGACCGCATTAAAAAGAAAGATAATTGCTTTCTTAATCTTTATTGAATCACGAAGATAGCTTCTTATTTTTTCTTTTCTAGAGAATTTTGAATCCACAATAATCTCCGTCCCAAAATGATACGAGGACATGGAAAATTTCTGCACTTGTGGTTGTGCTTGCTTAGTTATTTTACAGTAATACAACACGCCTCAGCGACTAATATTGAAAAAGTAAAGGGAGAAAAATGAAAGGGATTACAGGCCATTATACGTTGCATTGTTCAGAATTGGTAAGCCACTCTTGTGCGGCAACCAAGTCAGGGAGAACTGTAGCACCAGATTTCCTCCAGTCCTCAGCATCAGGTGTGTTAAATCTGTCTAACAGTAATGCATGCATCCCCACACTTTTCGCTGGTATGTAGTCTTTACGCATGCTATCTCCGATGTGGAGAACTTCTTCCGGGGCAATGTTTCCTGCCCTTTCTAAGGCAATCTTATATATTCTGGGATCAGGCTTCTCCACGCCTTCAATACCAGAAAATACACCAAAATCCCACTCCGAACCCTGACACAAAAGAGATTAACGGTCAGACCACACATATTTGCAATCAGTACAAGGAAGATCTAAATGCTTGTTTCAAGAATGCCTGTAAAAGCTTGTTTAGCAGCAAGGGCGAGTACCTTATTCAAGCCAAGTGCTGGTAGGATTACATCTCGATAGCGGTACTCTGCATTGCTAACAAGACCTACTTTAATCCCCCTCTCACGAAGCCATCTTAGGAAGGGTTGAGAATCTGGAAATACAGAATAAGGTGCTGCGGAACCAAAGGTTGCATATATGCGCCTAAAAATTTTCTCAAATGTCTCCTCATCATATTCATATCCAGCCTGCAAATATAAATATGATTCAGTTTCCTAAAACTTTGGAGAGTTTTTACACATAATAATGGTTAATTACTTGACAAGCAAAGACTCGAAGAAACTGATTATAGCAATTATTCTCTAAAGTGTTCATCAGTTTTGAGCTCTCCATTCCGATTTATAAAGTATAAGAGATACATATCAAAGTAATCTAACCATTCCAAACTTGATGCTGCATATAGCCATACCTTAACAAAAGAATCTCTTACACAAGTCTTCCACCATACAAGGTTGGGTATTTTGTCTGCAAATCCAAAACATGGGTGTTTAGTTGCCACGTCAGTGTATGCAATCTTAAAGCCCTCGTGGACTCGCTTGTAGTCAGGACATGGAAAACCAGCAGCTTTAGCGGCCATGCAATAGTAATCTCCAAGCTCGCCTTTATAGGCTATCAAAGTACCAGTCACATCAAGTGTAACACAACGCAATTTCGCCAGTAGAGACATTGTATAATGGACTGAGACACAGGTTGTAAAACTTTTGTGTTCAAAGCTTTATTTCAGATACTTTGCATCTAATTCCTCAGTTGTCCTTGAATCTGAACAAGGAAATAAACTAGCAGTATCAACTGCACATTAGCGGCTGCTTACGTACAAACCTGCATCAAAGAATGAATACATTTAAGCCTTCACTAAAGAATGAATCCATTAACCTCTCATACCTATCAAATTTCAGAAAAATAACTTATAATCAGCCAATTTTGGAGCTTTGACACCTAATAAATTGCATTAGTCTACCAAGCAGTTCCGTGAAGTAACAACTAAATTGAAAGAACATTCACAGATAAGAACAAACAGCCCAAGATTTCAAGCTGTCCAGAGCACAACTAGATTACAGCTTCTTGAGAACATTTAGTACTTGTATGATGTAGTATCAATCAAGGAACTCAAAGTGTATGTTCCTAATTGAGCAGCAATTAGATGTCTATTTCAACTAAGAACCGTGATTACGATACCTATTAAGTATAAATACACCATAGAATTAGAAATGACATAGATCCTTTCAACGAATTACTAACCGGTGCTAAACAAATCGGTTATCTTCGATGACGAACAGGATAAACAGACAATCATATCAGCAAAACTATTCAGAACTTCAAAAAACTAAACATTGGTCTCAAACCAAAACAACCCATCAATTTATTAGCTAAAACACTAAAACCTCAAAGAAATGCCCTCACCTCCAATAAATTCAACCAACAACCGAGAAATTTGAGCAACCACATAATAAAAGCACTGCAAAAAGATTCAATCTTTAAAGAGAAAAGATGACTTGAAAGCATACCTTGATAACCCAACTGGAAGGAATCAATGTTGCTTCACAAATTCATCAAGATTCAAGTAAATGAGCAAACTTTGAACAAGTGAACTTGGGTTATGCCCAGGAAACCTGATTTTATATATGTACATTTTTTTTTACCCCTAACTTCTCTCCCACGTAGATTAATTAATACTCCTCTTCTTTGCTTCTGGATCGTCTTTGTATTAAACAAGGAACAGATACTCTCTCTCTTGACTAAATGGTCCCTATAGTTTCATTTTGATTAAGATTGGACCCTAGACGGATTTTAACTTCTTCGTACTTGTCCCTTCCCATTTGAAAAAAAATGTTTATTCCTTTATTGTGAATCCACAACTACAGTGAAGACGGATAAGAACATATAGAACCATTTTTGCAATGGTTTGTTACAAAGCATCAGGGATTCATGTAGTAGGACAAGTCTGTGATTTTAATTACAGCAAGTACATTATCTATGTCATAATTATAGGAAATCGCGTCAAATTATTTATTTTTAGGTAGTGTATATATTTGAGTTAATATACATCACATTATCACAAATGTAATAGCCAAAGTGGGTTTTGTAAGTTGAAAATTATATTGCATTGAATTCAATATACAAACAATTAAAATTCAATATGTAGGCAAGTCTTTTATTTTGTCCATAAAGTAGTAAAAAATTATTGTGAAATAGAATAATGAAATGACCAATCATCAATTCTACTTTTAATAATTCCTTAATAACAAGGGACCATTTCACTGGTAAACATATTTTACATCAATCACGATTTACTTTTACGGTATCTTTTCATGTCATAGAGAAATCATACATTTTTTTTGCAATTATCTTTTTATAAGTTTCATGTGTGTTCGATATAAAATGCTTTTGAAAAAACTTTTTTCTTTTTTGAAGTGATTTTTAAATCTTTATTTCAAAATTTGCATAACTTTCATTCGTGATAAACAAATTCATGTGCTCCCATGGACTAGACAGTGTGATTTAATCAATTGATTAGTGAAACCTTAATTTGGACCTGTAATGAATCCGTATTTTAAACTATATAAAAAACAATATTGTTTGATCTTATATCAACATAAGATATAAGATTTAGGGGTGAAAATGAAACGTGGAGAAACAAAGGGGCATGGATGCAACAACAGGGGTAAAAGAAATATTACTATTTTGAAACCGTGGATTCTTTTGCCAATGGTTTTATAATAAGTTAATAACGGGGTTGAAGAGGGACGTCGGCTTGGAGTTGGAGTTGATAGTCAACAGAAGAGATTCTCACGTGCTGCGTGCGTGCACGTGCAACTCTTTGTCCTTTCCTAGATTATATTTCTATTTCTTTTCCGATTTCTCATACTCACCAATTTGTTTTTTTTCGTTACAATGTTTTTTTGTTTCTTTTGAAATATTCCCCCATTTCAATTTGTAGGTTGTTTTAAGTTTGGAGAGATTTTCCAAAATGTAAGTGGTTTTACAAATTTTAAGTAAATTAATGACTATTTTTCTAACTTTACCATCAATAAATGATGCCAATATATTTTCAGTCTTGTTTAGTTTCAATGTAATTAATGAGTGGTAAAATAGATATTTAACACATAAATTAATTGTTAAATAATTATCTTCTTAATATACATGCAAAACTTAAAGTGATTTACATTTTGAAATGGGGAGTAATCACTAAATAAGAGTATTTCTTAAGGCGGGTAAAAATTAAAAACTAAAGATGACTTTGATGTCTGAATTAGATTGATCGAGAGGTAAAGGTCCAATATGAAAACATATAAGAGTAGAGTATATTCTACCAGTTGAACTAATCATGGGCATTGTTTTTACTAGATTTTTACTTTACTTTTAAAATTTTAATTTTTTCCCTTTATAATAAAGATTAGTTTTTTTTTAATAAATGGTGAAAGTAAAGATAATCTATTAAAAAAATTAAAGTTTAAAAATAATTTTAATGAAAGTTAAGATATTTTATAAATAGTAATTTTCAAATAATTTTTTTTTTCCTACCACTGCCAATAAACCGTCCAAAAGTCGGCAATCAACCACAAACCAACACCTGCTGTACCATGTAGTATTGTGCAACCATGTATAATAATAGGAGTAAAGTAGTAATTTTAGAAGGAAATAGATAATTTTAACGGAAGTTATACCACCAAAATAAGGAAGTGTTAGTACTTGCTGCACTAAATTATTGGATACAACAGTTGTTCCCAATATTGTTTCTGATGAATGAACATTGTTTCTGATGAATAAGTATATCACCCTGAACAAGTTTGTGGTAACCCCTAACCGGTGACAAATTTGGGTGTGAGACGGGCTTATGTATGCATTTGCCAAATTCCGTGATGCTTAAAAACGCAAATTTTGTTCTTCAAAAGAAAATTTATCATAATGTGTTTTTTTATTTATTTAAATATTAACCAATTATAAGTTCATTTACCCTCAAAAAAAAAAAAAAGAAATTATAAGTTCATGGACTATGTAAATAAATTTTTTTCCTTTGCAAAAAAAAAAAAAGGGAGAAAAAAGAAAATTGGCGAGTTTCAACTGTGTGACCCGATGCCGGTTCGCGGGTCTTTTCCTCCCCCACAAGAATCAGAATGTCACCGTTTTTCTGAAGCCGACGAAACGTGAATTGAATCAACTTTCAAACACAATGTTGATTTCATGTAAAACAATCCATTTCTAGTTCATATTATTCAAACTGTTATTGGAGTCTATAGCAAATTGGGTAGCAGAAACCTTTTCAGGGAGTCTGAACACTCAATTTCGGAACCTCCACCGGCCAACTCGATCAAAGATACTTGTTTGGCTGAGCCACCGTATGCACCGTCGTCGGGGTCCGCCGCTGCCGTATTGCTCAAAGTCTGAAAAGAAGAAACGGTTCAGATAATGCTTGTGTAATTGTCGCTAGAAAGAAATAACTTCAGGTCAGTGTATTTGACATGCGTTTTTTTTATTAAAAAAAAAAAAAAAAAAACTCTATTTCTGCGGTTCTGTGTAAATTGTGGTGAATCCTTCATTAGCTTTGAATACTAGTTGGTGGGATCCTCTTATCTCCTTGTGTTTATTGAATATATCGGTCAAATTTTGTTGTTGTACGCTAACTGTTTGATTTTTGGCGGCAAACAAAAATTTCAAGTGTTTTTTTTTACTGCCAACAAAGTCAAATTAGAATTCGAAGTTTTGTAATTTGAAAGCCAATTCTTGCTTCAGTTTCCTTTTTTAATTGGCTTATAATTTTTTCACACAATTTGACTTAGTAAGGTGTGCTACATGAGATCATGGTTGTTCTGTTCTGATTAGATAGTTAAAGTTTGTTTGATGATGCATTCAGTAATTTGACTACACTAGAAGTGTTTGATTTTTGGCCTCTAGTTGTCGGAAGAAGTATATATTTCTCTGTTTAGCAATATAACCATTGGATGACTGTTGATATACAGAATCATGATAATTGGGTTATGGATAGTGTTATACGATGCTTGGATTAATATGTTTCCTTAAGTTGATGGGTTTAAAATTTGTCTATATCATGGAAACATTAAAAGAACTTTAGATAGGCGAGAGCAACGATCCCTGAGTTCATAGTAATTTCTCTCTGGCCCACCTCCTCCATCGCATACCTCTGCTCCTTCTCCCAGCGGCCAGACAAAGAGCACAATTCTACGCCCCAATCTCTTTTGTTCTCAGCTCCCATTTACATCCTCCTTTCTTCCCCAACCATATGGGGGGGTCTGCAGCTGAAACAAGATGGTTTTTTAGAATTAACCCCTTCACCATTTTTATTTTTAGTCCAAATCCTGTGTCATATTATCCTAGACAAGGGTGACGATTTAGATTCTAAGAACTGATGTGGCTTTTTTGAGTATATTTGCTGCTTCTTGATTATAATACTCTGTAGCCCCTGATGATCCCTTATATTGCTTTTGATTGTGTTAAGGATGGAACAAGGTCACGTTAAAGAAATGGAAAGCGGAAAAAGTAAAGCTGAAGTTGAAAGCCTGCTTGATCTACTGCCACCAGTTGACTTCTGCTGTGCATATGGCTCCACTCTTCACCCAAACAATCTTGACAAGGTTTTCAATTTTTTTTTTTCTTTTTCCATTTTGATCTATTTTTCAATTTTTGGAGTCCAATTAATGTAGCCTTCTTAAAGAATCATTTATAGTAATCTGGTGCAGCTTTTTGTACCATTTAAAAGTGTTTTTTTTCTCCCTTGTTCCTGATGTAGTTCTGGTTTTAGAAATCCATGGTTGACTGTATTCTTGGTGTTTCGGATCCTGAAAAATGGCATTCTGAGGTATGGGTTTGAGTGCTTTCTAGCAAGCATTTGAATATGCTTTTCTCTTTCCTTTTTTTTTTTTTTGGGCTCCCTATCCTTTTTCTGTTTCTTATTGCTGATTCTATTAATATTTTTTTCCCAATGAAGAACTTAAAGATGAACCACAATCACTATGCCTCCTGGTTGGCGCACCTAGGGGGAGCAAGGCTGGTATTAATCTTAACCAACATTGATTTAATCTGTAGTTGTCTTCGTTTTTCTTTTTCTTCCGCCCCCCCTCTCAATTTGAATTAGAATTTTTTTATGTCAGATCACTTGTGTAGCTGATAATATTGGAGCTGGCGTTCACTTTAATCCATTTGTTAACTTGAATGATAAGGTATTCATATTTCTAAGTTGTGGCTTAGGATTTCTTTGGGGATGATCTTTCTGGTCTGGCATTTGTATCTTTTTGTTTTGTTGGTTAAAATGTAGATTAGACTCTACACTGCTACACCTTGTAGTTTTCCGCCTATATTTTCTTTCTTTAATCTGTCAGGGCTGCTCTGGAGAACTTATTAGTTCTTTTACCCTTTGGCATGTTTTTGCAGATGTACAAGTATGGAGTTGTTAGAATGGATGACTTGACGAACGACATTTTGGACTGGCAGAAGTTCTATATGTGTGGTCGTTTGCAAAAACCAGTACGCTCTCTGTGGAAGTGTTCAGTATCAATAATCTCCTTTTTCTCTGTCTCATTGAGTTTAATTTCATGCGTCACCCCATTTCATATCTGCGATGAATGCTGAGGAATCTTGTGAATCCTTTATAAACATGATCATGTAGCTAACTTGTGTATTTTGACCAATAAATTTTGACATTCAGGAAAGAATTTGTAGATGGGTTTTGTACTCCCAAGTTCACAGGCAGTGGCTAACGGCTAAAACTATGGAAGTCGTATGCATGTATCAGGAGTTATTTATATAATCTATAGCGGATTAAATTAAAATATGTTGCTACGATGGATGTAGGAAAATTTGGATTAGAGATTAACAACACGTGGACATTTATTTTGCCCCAGAAAACGTCCTTCGGTACTTTTGCCTCTTGCTTCCTTGACCTAAATTAGCAGGAAGGTAGAAATAATCTGATGAAGCTGTTTTCTTGTTTAGGGCAAAAGATACCTTTTCTAACTGTCAGTAGCTAAATATAAAATCAAGGTAAGATTCAAAATGATAAGGTGGGAAAGCTTCTGGCAATGTTAAGGGAACTGGAGTTATGAATTGAGATATAAATAATGTTTAAAATTTTGCTTCCTCAACTGTGAACTAGTGAAATGCTGACAGTTGTTGATAAGTGTTTTTTGTTGACACCTTTAGTATGTTTGAAAATTTATTGCTGCATTCATCTTCAATCTACTGCTGTGGTGGTTAATGTGACATTTTTAATCTCATTTTTCGTTTCAGGTGAATATCCTTGTGGATAATTTGGACCTTGAAAATGTGAACCATGTTAATCTCAGAGCCGCTACCTCAGCTGCTCTTCTCCTTTTGCCATCAAACTTCACCGAGGTTTGCTGCTTTGAACGTTCTAGTATTTGTTCTGTTGATATAGAAAAAGAATAATAAAATTGTTTTAATATTTGTTTAAATATTCTGCCTCATCTCTTCCTGAGTTAGTACCTTTGCAGGAGGATTTGTATGCTAAAATATGCAGCCTCTCATATATGGGAGACATAAGGATGCTTTTTGCAGAAGACAGAGATAAAGTAAGTTGATTTAAACCCTTGGACTTTTGAAACAGAATGTCCTTCGTCCTTTGTAGCTTCAACAATGTCTATGGTCTAGATTCATGTTTATGCATCCTTCATATTTCTCAACAGACATCCTTCCTTTTTTGTTGCTTTCACTTTTACAGGTTTTAAATATCTACTAAAATACTACTTTTGGACACTAATCTCAGAGTAGTTTAATACCTTATCCTGTATCTGGGTAATCTAGGACGAATATCACAGAATCTAATTTCAGCTAATTTATTCATTTCCAGGTTTGATTTATCTTTGTTTCGAAAGGAAGAGTTTTCATTTTGCTACATTGCATCATTAAAATATTTTATAGGCACGTCTTTTGCTGGCATACTGGTTACTAGTACTGGTTCCGCTTTATTAATCTCTTTTGTTTGTTCATCGTTTTTTATTAGGTAAAAAAGATTGTACAAGGGCAGTTCAATCTATTTCAACGAATGTATAGACCGTTCTTGGAAGAATATGCAACGAAAGACTTACTAAGGGTTTCATCTCTTGGTGGTGATGCTCAAGCAAATATTGCTCAGGTCCATATCAGCATTTTGCCCTTTTTTTCCCCTTGCTTCCAATAGTATAATTGTTAACTTTTTTGGTTGGTTTGGGGTTGCTCAATTCTTTTATTTTCATTGGTTCTGCAATCTGGAGATGGCATCGGCACCAGAAAAATGGCTGTTTTTAAGATCATTAGAAGGAATAGTGATCTAGTTAACGGTTAACAACCGCAAATGGTTTCTATGAAGATTACTGCCTTAGTTTTACGATACATGTGTTGTCATTATATCGGAGCTTCCATCAATCTTTTAATTCCTGTAGCTGTTGAGTGCGGGCTGTTCTTAATTACTACAATCATTAAGGAAAACATCCAGTGTCAAATTTCTCTGTTGATGCTATGCAGATTTTAGTTACAACTGCTTCTCCTTTGAAGTGTGCTTATTCGGCTGGAGTTTGATGTGTAGGCATTTGAGATTTCATTTTGGAAAATTGCTGTCACAACAACGAGCTTGTGGTATCTGAAATTGCATTATAGCATTTCTTATTGATGAAATATGGTCTCAGCAAATCTGACATTTTTCCTGTTGTTGAAATAAGGACTCTGGGCATTTTTCTGCTTCGCATCTTGTCTCGCATCTTCCACCATCAATCAGAAGCCAAATGGCAGCAAGACTAGGAGAGAAGAGAATACCCATGGAATCCGGTATGAGCCTTGCTTTCAGTGTCCAAACAAAGAAAATCAATGGAATATAAACCAGCATGCTCATGAGTAGTGGCATCTTTCATCTTCTGAATCAACCTACATGCTGGATATATTCTTAAACTTGACTCCCTGAGGCTTGTTAATTTCAAATTGTTTGTTACATAACAACTTTTGTTGCAGGTAAAGTTGTACGGGAAGTGGCGTTCAGCTCAAAACATGAGGCGGCCGAATGTATGCGTAAGATTGTGAGAAACAGAGTTATGGTTTCAAGTGCAAGGCAAGCTGTGGCTGGTCTGTTGACAGTCGGTGTGGTTGGTGGAGCTCAATATGTTGCAAGGAAAATGCAGAAGGCCTGGAAGTCTAGGACATAATTTTCTACCTCCTTTCCAGCACATATGCCGAGGGCTCAACAGCCGAAAGTTGCCACCCCCTTTCATGTCCATCGCTGCAGAGTGAAGAACAAGAAGGTAATGCAAAGGCTTAAAACATTCTGGGCGATGGGTACGTCTTTCTTTAGAAAGCGACCTGGGTAGTTTGAATTAACAATTTTGTAAGAGCCTAGTATAGGTGATAGTTTTTACCTTATAAATGGCAATGCAACTTGTAGTCAGATTGTTACTTCTCAGGTTTAAGATTACATTATAATTACTCATTTCATCTCAAAATGATTTTGTTGTTTGTTGTACTGGAATCCATTTTAGTATATCAAATAAAACAATGACAATGTTACTTTTTTTTTTTTGACTTGCTTCCGTTTCCATTGAAATGTTTTCACTTGAAGACCATCAGTATTAGCTCTCAGTCGAAGGTGTTTTTTATTGGCCCTGTTTCTTTTACTCTTCTAAGTTTGAAAGACAAAAAATCAGCATAGAATTCTAAATTGAAATGATCTGTTGTCAAAAATATTTTCCGGGATCACAAAAAATTAGAAACGGGCAAAAGAAAAATGACAAAATGCATTTTTGGTTTCTGAACTAAGGAGGTCACAATTTTTTGTCACCGTTAAGTTTTTGCTGACAAAATTAGTCACATGCTTCTCGTTTATTCATCATCATTGATCCACTTGATGGAAATTTTCAAAAATTTACGGTCAAACTCGGTCAAAAGTTAATTTTTTATTTTTTATTAATTTTTTTCAGGTTGTGGGTCCATTTACATTTGACTAAAAAAAAAGAGAAGAAAGAGAAAAAAAAAAAATTCATTCTCCCTCCGGCCTGCACCGCCGCTGCCGCCACTACCACCGCCCGCTACCACCACCACCAGCAATGACATTTTTCTTCATCTACCTCAAAACTCTAAGCACAATTTACACAAAAAAAGCCAGAAACTTAAAAGGAAAAAAAGGATCAGAATCAATTACTTACAAGGAAAAAAAAAAAGAAAGAAAAGCAGAGTAAATTATTATTAGTACTAGATACAAGATGAACATGATGATTCCACAATCAGAACCTGCCATTAATGTCTGCCAAAAACTCCCCACAACTTTCCACGATCTAAGCTGTCAAAAAGCTTCTTAGCACCGTCAACGTCGTTGTTCAATTCCACCAGTTTCTGCAAATGGGAACAAGCCCCAGCACCCACCATTTGCTTCCTGCATTTCTTGGAATGGACTAATGAATTCAACAACAAAACAGGGTACTTTTTATCCAGATTCTGTACCAACGGATCCAAGAGCTGGACGGCGCTGATGATCCCCTTCTCTTCCTTCCTGAATATCCTCTTGTTTCCGGCGTAATTCAACAGATTCGACAACTCCTTCGCCGCCGCTTCTTTCTCTTCCACGGCCTTGCCGTCCAGCATTCTCGACAGCGATGAAATGCATCCCAATTCCCCTAATTCCTTCCGGGTTTTCGTGTTGTAAGCCATCCCAATTCTCCTTTTTTTTTTCTTAAGTCAAATGCCCACAACCTAAAAAAAATTAATAAAAAATAAAAAATTAACGTTTGACTAAATTTGACCGTTATTTTTTAAAAATTTCAATCAAGTGGATCAATGATGATAAAACAGATTTTCTCTCACAAACTGACCGTCTCCTATTTCTTTCTAGAGAGAGAAGCTCCTCCTTCTCTCTAGAAAAAACCACTCTTCAAAATTTCTTCCTCCTTCCTTAATGGTGAATGGAGGAGTTCAAGGGCTTGTTTGGACATCAACTCATTCTATATTTTCACTCATTTTACCTCTTAATTACAAAATTTAATGGAAAAAAAAATATCATCTAAATAATTTTCTGATTTACATTTTAAATTCCAACTTGAAATACTTTTTGTTAGTGTAATGACCATTTTAAAACTACAAATAGTTCAGTGACAAATTTGGCAGGATTCCGTTGTTGAGTGATTGTTTTTGGAAAAGTTCTTTTTTGCAGTGACTATAATTGACAGTATTTAATTGTTTAGTGATGACTTGTACTTGATATTTCAAAATGTAGTTCAAAATAATTTTTTTCAAAACCAACATCTAAACAACATTTTTATTTCTCATTTAGTTTTCAATTTGAAACACTTTCCACTTTTAAGTGGCAAAATGAAATATAAATTGACGTCCAAACAAGTACCAAATCGTTTACTTTGTTTTCTAGTTTTAGTTTTTTCTCTTCCCGTATGTGAAAGTTTCACTCTCCTTTTATGGGGTATTACTCTTCCATATGAAAGTTTTGGTTCATCCCATTTGGGGGAACTTTTTTCTTTAGATGTATTTTTGGTAGATTTTCTTCAACAGATCTGATCCAAAGAAGAAGATGATTCACAACTCCCTGAAGAAATTGAATATGAATATGAGGTTAAATAATTTTGCAAATGAAGGATCTATATAGATCTGAGACTTCTAGCCATATAGATCTGAATTGTCAATTTAGATATGGAGTTTTACTCTCTTCTGAGCGATGTTTGGATTTCATTTGTAAAAGTGTATTATTATTTTCTTTGTATTTCATGAGTTCTTGGAACTTTTTTATTCTGTTATTAGAAATGTTGCTATAATTTAGTTAGTTTAGCTTAGCTTAGGATTGTACACAATGTTGGGATTGTCCATCTCTTCTTTTATGGCTAAGTATAGTGCGTAACACAAATTGTAATATCTCAACCGTAGGTTGTTATAGCTCAACACATCGTGGTTGTACTTGTTTATTTTCTTTATATATGATTATCACTTCTGACAAAAAAATCAATGATAATGAATAAACGAGAAACATGTGACTAATTTTATCAGAAAAAAACTTAATGGTGACCAAAAATTGTTACCCCACTTAGTTCATGGACCAAAAGTGCGTTTTGTCCAAGGAAAAATAAAATTTCGACTTGATCAATGTTGACACACAAATGAAAATTGTAATTATCTACAGTATGTACTTTTTATCAATTTCCTAAATTCCAAACATTTTTTCACAAATCCCCTATATTTAATTGTCGAACTAAATTCAAAAAGTTATAACCTAATTCGTACTGGTTGTAAACTATTTTTTACCTCAATGATTAAAATTTGGATGGTAAGTCGCGCGCTTTGTACAGCAAAATAAATGTACGCAAATAATGATGCTTTGTACTGTAAGTTACGCAAATAATGATGCTTGGTAGAAATAAATTAAGCTTTCCATCTGTTTAAAAAATATTACATAACTAAAACAAAATAATTCAAGGAAAATAGCTATAATATTTCGACTTGAGTTTGAGCATCATGAACTTATAATATTTAAGGAAAATAGGCTATTAATAATACCAAAAACAAAAACGAGATGGAAAGGGAAGCTTGGGTTACCAAAATCCAACTTTTTATATTGAAAGTAAAACCGACATACTATTAGTAGTATATATATATATATATATATATATATATATATATATATATTGTAAATTTTCTTTTTCTAATTAAACCAGAAAGAAACCGGTGCAAGCTCGATTCGCGCGGCGGAAGTAAAAATGCCAAGAATGAGTTTGGAGGAGGAGATGATTCGGATGGTTCAAGAAAGAAGAGCTGCGTTGGACTCCACGGTGGCCCAAGTCGTCCTCGGCAACAAGGAGGCCGGCGACCGGCAAAATTCTCTACAAGAATTCTTGATACGTCAGGACATTAAGGACAGAGCGGAAAGGAAGAAGCTGTCGTACAAATTCTGGAGTTTCGCCGCCGCTTGCATTGGAGGACTTCCGGTTTACGCCTCTTGATCTCGCCGGAATAATTCCCCCCCCTCCAAGAAAGAAAGATGCATGCATGGCTGATCTTCACAGAATTTTTGTAGTATGAACTTTGATCAGACTATATATTGTAGAATTTAGTGCTTTCTTTGTTAACCATACACTTTATTGTTTGCTTATCATATTAAAGTATTACTATTTGTTATGAAACATGACATGAGTTATTTATTTATTTATTATATATTTTGATAAATAATCTCAAATAAAAATATTTCTTTTCTACCAAAATAATTGTCACTAAAACAGTATAAAAAATAGACAAGATCACAAGACTACAAGAAAGAAAGAGTAAAAATATTAGAGGAAATATCATTGGCTTGATAATTGACTGAATGGGATGATAATGATATCATAGACCGTTGGAGATCAATACTGTTTTAAGACATATCATGCATATTTTGTGTCAACTATAAGTTGCAGAAAGTGAAACGTAATTTACTATTTGTATGGGTGCTTTCCCCAAAAAATGCTCCTCGACTCAGAGTAGACAGATTTAGGCTTTTCTGATTTAGGTGGATAATTTATAGGCATATCGGATTCTCAAAATCTAATTTTTTAATTTAATTAGTAAATCAGATTTTTGAAATCTGACTTTAATTTATTAATATAATATTAATTTTCATTATTTTGGAAAAGGAGAAAAAAAGGAAAAAAATAATAAGAAAAAATTAATATCGAATTTAAAAAATCCGAATTTATAAAATTAAATTTAAAAAAGAAAATAAATAACTTTGTTGGTGGGAAAATTTAAATTGAAGTAGGAAGTGTAAATCGGATTTTTCGAATCCGATTTACTTTTTTTAAATTAATATCAGGTTAGAATTGGATGGAATTGTAGGTGAATAAATATTTATGAAAAATGACAGAGTTATAACTTATATGTGAAAAAAAAATCCATGGTTATGATTATAGTAGACCATGTTTAAACGCAATATAAATCTAATTTTAAGATGCTTATTATGACTTGACATACAAACAATATAATACTCTATTTATGTTGATTGTACAAGAACTAAAAAAAAATATAAAAAATTGTAATTTCTTAATTCCCATTCATTTAGCATAGCAAGCAAATTTCAACACGAAGAATGACATTAACCCTTTATAATATTTTGATAGAGCATCAGGGTGGGGGAGGATTTCTTATAATTTAATGGATTTTATTAAATTATTAATGAATAGAATTTCTAAGAAACCCAGAAGATACAGTAGAGATCGATAATAAGATATTCAGTTCATTATTACAATCAATACAAAAATGTGAAAATAATGAAAATTAGTATGCCTGATTGTTTTTTACTTACTCATAATCGAGAAGTAACGATCAAGCATGAAGCAGGAAACGAACACAATTTGTTAATTTCCAAAAAATTTACCCCTGTTGATCTCATATAAATACAGTTAGAAATAAATTCCTTAGATGCCACTTCAACAAAGTACATTGAATGAAACTGCTCTCATATAATGCCCATACAATTTCTCTTTTCATGTACATTAATAGAGGTATAAAAAGGAAGTGACATTTCGAAAGATCATATTTCTTTATGCCACAAAATAGCTAAAATTTATTAATTTGTAAATTATTACTTTAGCAACGTTCTACTGTACATAGATTTAATACTATAAAGAGAACTAATTATATCGGGTCCTTTATTTTTTGTTTAAAACAAATACAATCTTAAGAGGATTTTTTTTTAAAAAAAGTTTTGGGCTTAAATCGGATTTTAAAAATCTGATTAGGGTACAAAATCGGGTTTAATAAATCCGACTAAGGTAACAAGGCGGTTTTTGAAAATCCAACTTAGACAAAACCGGATTTCAAGAATCCAACTAGATCAAGAAATCGGGTTTAGTAAATCCGACTAGGTTTACAAGACGGTTTTCAAAAATCCGATTTAGGTGAAATCGGATTTTAAGAATCCGATTTTAAACCCTAAGCCCTAAACCCTAAACCCAAATCGAAATTTAAAAATTTGGGTTAAAAAATTATATCGGATGTGGGAAATCCGACTTCTTTTTAAAACGGAATGTCAAAATCCAATTTTGTATAAATTTGATTTTTCCCAAAAAATAAAATTTTGGCCAAAACGGTTTTCAGGAATCCGATTTAGTATAAATATAAAATCCTTTGAGCAGATAACATTGGGTTTGTTTTCCTTCCTTTTGTCCGACCCGCGATGAAAAAAATTTCCCAAATCGGCGGCTGAACCCTAGCCGCCGATTCGCCGCAATCGAAGGTTTCCCGATGAAGCCCACCAACGCAGCACCTCCTGGGGAGCCAACCATCCTCTCGTCCTCTTCCCCATCATCAAAATCCTCGTCCATCGGAACAACGCCACCACGGCGGCGGGCTAAAGCAAAAGCAGAGGTGGCAGCAGCTTTACCACCATGGAATTCGTCGTCATTGTCCGCAGCCACTAAAGCAGAGAGCTTCTCAATCTTCGATTCAGCACCTTCACCGGAGCTGATTACATCAAGGGCAATCCCTTTTTTTCTTCAAATTTGCTCCGACAGCCACCAAATCATTCTGTTTTTTGAATTGGTAAACATGGTGGTTAAGATTTGGTGGATAAAATTGAGACTAACCGAAAATCTATTAGGTATGATAGACATTGAAGGCAAAGATTTGGGTAAGAACACATTCATGATCTCTCCAAAAGATTGTAAAAAGTAGTAAATAGAGATGCTGCTATTTGGGAGGGGAAAAAGAAGACTAGTACTCCTTCGGTCTTATAATTATGTACTCCTTCCGTCCTATAATTATTTTCTAGTTTTTGCTTTCATTTCTAGTTTAAATTATACTAAAAGTAAAATCTCAAATTGAACTTTCTAGTTTTTGCTTTCATTTCTAGTTTAAATTATACTAAAAGTAAAATCTCAAATTGAACAATTATTTTGGGACGGAGGGAGTATTGCGTTGCATTTTCATTTTGTAACATTTTCGTAACTCCACAAACATAATTGGGTTTATTTTTGATGATATGCCACGAGGCACAACACCGATAGCAAAAGTCCTACACTATTTTTTTTTTTAAATTTTTTATTTTTGGCTTTTGGGTAAATCATTATTCAAGGGGAAAGTGACTTATAACTCCATACGGCTGGGAAGGGTCTGTTAAACCATATATAGCCAAAACCAATTAAATTTTTGGTTGATGCATTTGATGTAGGGTGGACCTCTCCGCCTGCACTAGACGACTTCTGCAAACTTACAAGATTGGAGAAAAATACCCCCTACTATATATTGTCTCACAAAAATAATCTACTATTTTATTCTTTTTATCTCTTTAGAGATATAATTATTCAAGAACCCGACTCCATAGATAATAGTATTTAGAATTGTTTCATTGGTCAGAAACTGCATTAGTTTCCAACAAACTTTTTATAAACAAGGGGATATGAGATTGCAATTTGGGCTGTGGCCTTTGTTTAATATCTGCATATCTACAACAAATTGTCACAGAAGCTCATTTAGCTGGAACCAGAAGAGCCTTTATGGGTTCAATGGTGGAAGAAAGCAGCAGCAGCAGCGCTGATAATATTCAACCAAGGAATTACTGGAGATGGAGCAAACAAGACTTCTTCCCAGAAGAATCATTCCAGAGTTGGGCTAACTACAAGTGTGCCATTAAGCAAACAAAATCGCGGTTCAAGGACCGCTTCATTAGCCGATCAGATGATGCTAAGGAGCTTGGAGAAGTCAGGAAACAGAGCGAAAATGACATGAAAAAGTGCCTGAATTGGTGGGATCTTATCTGGTTTGGATTTGGATCAGTCATTGGAGCTGGCATCTTTGTGTTAACTGGCCAAGAAGCGCATAATCATGCAGGACCAGCTATTGTGTTATCCTATGTCGCTTCTGGCCTTTCTGCAATGCTGTCTGTTTTTTGCTACACAGAATTTGCAGTGGAAATCCCTGTTGCTGGAGGGTCATTTGCTTACCTGAGAGTTGAGCTAGGAGACTTTGCCGCCTTCATTGCCGCAGGAAATATTTTCCTGGAAACAGCTTTGGGAAATGCAGCAGTTGCGAGATCATGGACTTCCTACTTTGCTACTTTGATCAACCTTCAACCCGATTCGCTGCGCATACACACGAATCTCAGCAAAGGATACAACCTGTTGGATCCTATTGCGTCTGCAGTTATCGTTGTAGGGTATACGATAGCAATTGCAGGAACAAGAAGGACTTCACAGTTGAATTGGATCGCATCGGCAATCAATACTGTTGTGATCATATTTGTTATAGTTGCGGGATTTTCTCATGCCAAGACTTCCAATTTGTCCCCTTTTCTGCCTCATGGCGCTGAAGGGGTGTTTAAAGCAGCAGCGATTGTTTATTTTGCGTATGGAGGATTCGACAACATCGCAACCATGGCAGAGGAGACGCGGAATCCATCAAGAGACATACCGTTAGGGTTGCTTGGATCAATGTCACTAATCACTGTGATATACTGTCTCATGGCACTGTCACTAAGTATGATGCAGAAATACACAGATATTGACCCTAATGCTGCCTACTCTGTTGCATTTCAGAGTGTGGGGATGAAGTGGGCTAAATATTTGGTAGCACTGGGAGCTCTGAAAGGAATGACCACTGTGATACTAGTGGGTGCACTTGGTCAGGCAAGGTATATCACTCACATAGCAAGAGCACACATGATACCTCCATGGTTTTCGCTTGTTCATCCGACAACAGGAACTCCTATCTACGCAACACTCTTGATCATGATCTCAGGTTCCTGTCTCGCTTTCTTCACGGGATTAGATGTCTTGTCAAACCTGCTAGCCATCAGCACACTCTTCATCTTCATGATGTTGTCTGTCGCAGTTCTCGTGAGGAGGTACTATGCAAGAGGGATAACTCCTAAAGGAGATGCCTTGAAGCTGGTGATCTTCATAATGACCATCATAGCTTCCTCTATGGGAACTTCTGCATACTGGGGGTTGAGGCCAAATGGCTGGAAAGGCTACACTATCACAATTCCTCTTTGGTTTTTAGCAACTTTGGGGATCTCAGCATTTTTAACACAGCAAAGAACTCCAAAGGTATGGGGTGTTCCACTGGTTCCATGGCTGCCATCCCTCTCAATTGCTACAAATTTGTTCCTCATGGGATCTTTAGGAGCTCAGGCATTTATAAGGTTCGGAATATGTACTGTAGTAATGCTGATTTACTATCTGTTTGTTGGTCTACATGCTACATACGACTTGGCTCATCAACAACAATCTAGGAACAAAATTCTACAAGACGATAAAGAAGCCAACACAGACAATCTTGAAGATGGCGCACGAAAACCCAACACCACTTAGAAAACTATCACAAATCTTTGTTTTTATTTTGATTGAAACATTGAATTTCAAGATGATATTGTACAAGGCTTAAAACAATAGCACTTTTTAAATATAAACCATCCCACGCATCTGCCATCTGGATATTGTTCTAACGCGCACGCACCCCTGCAAAGTTTTCTGACAAGGCAGAATTTGCGTCTGAAGAGAACGGATAGTTTGGAGCTCTCTTTAGCTTCAGCTTCCATGACCATGTAATCTGTAACTTCAGCAAAGTAAGAAAAACAAAAGTCAGTTTGTACACAACATGCATTGAAGGAAGAAGTCACTGATTCTGCCATTTGATTGTGCAGTTCTAGTGTTTCTCATCAAAAAGTAATACTTGGAACAAATCAAATTTTAAAACTTTTATGAGCGTAAGACAGACAGTGAATAGTCATACTGGAAATTAAAAGAAGAGAGAGCAACAGAAAGGTGCCAAAGAATTTCCCCATCTCTGTTTACAATATCTGAAACTTTACCAACTATGTTGATGCAGAGAAGCCAATGATTCTTATATATAGACAAAAATTAGGACCTAACTGACACGTTCTTTTTAAGTTACTGAAATAGAGTTAATGCAGCATAATAATATCTTCTCTTTTTCTCCGGTTGAACTGTATCAGATTACTGCAATCTTATCTAAGCACAAAGAAGATGGAACGAGGTTAATGGCACCATTTATCTTTCAGCGATTGGACCCGGTTTTCATAAGATTGCTTAAAAAGGCCCATCAGGACAAGGTTTGCTATTACTATTAACCAAAGGGTGGGAGGCGGGAAAAGAAGAAGAAAAAGAAGAGGTGAGAAAGATAAAACCTGTCCATAAAATGTAAGCTAGTGCACAGACCAGTACCATCTCAAAGCTTAGAAGAACAAAGAAACCAACAATTAGCAACTGGCCAGCATTTCCAACTTACATTGTTTAAAGTGTTCTTCAGATGGCAAATCTTAAAATGCAAATGCATCATTTTCTGGATCTCCCCTGCTCAGCCTCCAGAAAAGCCTTTATCAAATGCATGTTTGTCTGTGATTCATTTTCCTAATGATATCCACATACAACCTGAGTCAGAAGGTTCTTCCATATTATTTAGCAATGCCCATTTATGCTATGCGGAACAAAACAATAAACAATTAAAAAAATAGATATTCCATACAAGCATAGTACCTATATATTCAAGCAGAAGCAAAAGAAACATGTACTCTTATTTGGTACATTTTTTCCTCGATGATGCGAGAGGTAGAAGCATGACAGAGAATCCTGCATCCATTGAAATGGATTCTAAAATTGGACAAGACATCAGGGGCTCGTGCTCTTTTAATGCCTGAACCATTCTTCTTTCTTGCTCTAACAATCACCTACACATCTGACATACCATTGCATCTTATCCAAATTTGGTTGTGTCTCAAAGTTACACATTGCAAACAAATGAAGCCTATCACAGAATGTAAAATGCAATTCAGTGAATTTCCAATCTAATTAAGTACATACCTGTAAAGTTAAGTGCCAAGTGATGGGCAACACTATCTCGCATTCAAAAAACTATACTCTAGTTACAAAGCTCATAAAATCCAGATCTGATATATAACCATTTACTCAGTACTTCAAGTCTCCTCATGAAGGTCTATATTGCACTTCAAACTTTAAATTCTTCAACCTAATACAAATTTCTATAAAAATCATTTATAAGAGGACAAAAGCATGAGAAAAGAAATCAAGAATCAAAAGGTTCACAAAGCTTGTGGGAACAATAAAATTTGTTTTGATGGATAGCAACAAAAAAACACCTTTAGCAAAATAAAAGTACGAAACTTTTTCAAGGACTCAGCCATCACTCTCTAATTTGATCTGCTAAGCAGCAAAAGTACTTGAACATCAAAGCACAGCATTGCTAAATTAAAGGGCTGCTGGATATACACTAAGAAAAATCAAAATGCAGGAAAGAGCCTTACATTGAGGATAGACTCAATGTAGCATAAACTCACCTTGAGAATCAGACAAGTCTCAGCAGACCAGAAGCGCTATCAAAACAGCCTGCATTTTAAAAGTGTTATTAAAAGTAAAGCTCAGTACAGACAATAAAAATTACACAGACATGCACGCACTGCACATTGAGACAGTAAGAAATCAAAGTTAATTATACTAAATATTATCATTTGCCAGAACTTTTATCGAAAACAAAAGAAACAACTAAGCTTTAAGGCGGCATTGACTTTATTGAGCATATCGCAGCCCCACACTTTATCAAATCAAAAAATCCCATCAACGGGAAATCATTAATTAAAGAAAAAAAAAATTTAATCTGTTACTGATTGAAGGGGCAAAAAAGGGGAAAAAAAAAGAAGAAGAAAAAACTCAGCACCAGTTGCTGGCTAATCAAATACCATACTAGGTTCCTTGTCGCATTAACAAGATGACTTTCCTACCAGCTTCTTCGTACTTTGATACAAAACAAAGAAAAATGAATACTACTTAAGACCTCCTGCATAAGAAATGTTTTCAAACAAGACCAAACGATTGTCATGAAAATAGACACCAAAGATAAATACGAAAGTATAATGCAGAGTTTACCGATAATATCAGCCATATAAGTTACTCCAGCACCTGTTGATGGCTGCATGAGTCCTCTTTGGCTTGCATAATTCTCTTGCAATGAGTTCCCAGTAAAATGTTTCTGGAGTAATTAGCTTTCGAAGCATCACTTCTATAATGTTGGAGGCTCCAGCAATTCGGTGTCGCTTGTACAGCCGTAAAAACAGCTCACCCAAAAATTCTCTCCCTTCTTGAGGCGCATTTGTCTTATCCTTTAAAGTTGTCAGAATTATGTTACAGGTAACTACATCTGGATCACATTCTCTATCTATCATGATATTTAGAAGATCAATGGCACGAGTAACCTTGTCTTGCTTGCACAAAGCAGTAAGAAGTATGTTATAAGTTATTAGATCAGGTTGACAATCAGCATCCTTACAGAGCATCTCATTGAACAACTTTAAGCCTTGTTCAACCAAGCCAGCACTGCAGAGGCCATGAATCATTGAAGAATAAGCCACCACATCAGGGTTACATCCTTTACCCAACATGTGCTTCCACAACGTTTCTGCCTCTTCCAACTTCCCAACCTCAAAAAGTCCATGAATAAGCACACTGTAACAAACAGCATTATTATTGCAAGCTTTCTCTGCCATTTCCTCCCAGATATGAACTGCCATATCGCTGTTGCCATTCTTGAAGAATCCTTTCATCAGGGAGCTATATGTATATTCATTAGGTTCACAACCTCTTTTCATCATCTCAGTAAGAATTTCCTTAGCTTCAAAAGGTTTCCCTACCCTACTTAAACCATCTATTAGAGCACTATAAACCACTGTATTAGGTTCAAACCCCTTTTCATTCATTTTCTGCCACAGCTCTAGTGCTTCTGCAGATTTCCCCTCCTTGAATAACCCACTAATAAGGGCTGAGAATATATAAACATTTCCCTCGCGGCCCCTTTCCTCCATGGCCATATACACATGCATACCATCAACAGCTCTTCCTATCTTAATGAGACCATCAATAATCGTCCCATATGTAACAGCATTAGGAACATATTTATTTGATATCATCCTATCCATTAAACTAATTGCCTTCTCCAATTTCCCCTGAAGGCATAAACCATGTATAAGAGTGTTATAAGTCACTTCATTCGGCACACAACCTTTAAGACACATGTTTTCCACCAGCTTCGATGCTCTGGCCAAATCCCCCTTCTTGCAGAGGCCATTGATTAAGACGTTAAAAGTTGCAGGATTAGGAAAACAGCCCTCCATTTGCATTTCATCCAATAATGAAACTGCCTCATCAATTCTCTTCTCCTTACATAAACCATCCATCAAGGTACAGTAAGTAAAAACATCAGGCTGACAATCCCTAGCCGGCATTTCTCTCAGAACTTCTGCAGCTCTATTGACTAATCCTACTTTACACAATGCCTTGATAACTAGATTGTAAGTTAACACGTTCGGTCTAATTTTACGCCTATGCACTACATAAGAATGAAAATCCAACGCCTTATGATACAATCCCTCCTGAATAATCACGTTAAGAACCGAATTAAACGACTTTACAGTTTGCCTACACTGAAACTCATCCACCATCCTATCGAACAACTCGACCGCCTTGTCGGGCAAATGCGCTCTTCCATAAGCTCTAAACACTAAAATAAAACTCTTCTCTATGAAAGCCCTTCTCTCATACTTCATTCTACTAAAAACCATTTCCAAAGACTTAAAGTCTCCATCACTGGCATAATTCTCAATGAGTGAATAAAAAGTTGAATCACCTTGTTTATACGAACCCGATTTAGGAGCACATTGAAACAACTTATCAGCAAGTGGAGCCTCATTTACAACTTTAACTTTCCTAGTTGGTTTGGATACTTTGTCCGAATCAAAAGCACCAGTATCATCTTTTTCATAATCTTTATCAGTTTCAGGGAGTGGATTCGATGACAGAGCAGAAAAGGAGCAACGAACGAAGACAATGTAGGAAGACTTACATGGGGTTGAAGTAAAATTTAAACCAAGATGCTTTGAAGAAAACCACTTGACGAGCATGCCTTGGCTGGGAAGAAATTGGCTCAATAGGAATCAAACTTCGCCGGAATCATCCGTCAAATGCTGTGAACGGATGGACGGACGAACTGACGGAGATGATGAAAGAGATGGCGGAGCGGAGGAAACGGTTTATTTTCCTGATCCACTTAATTTCAAATAACCCCCTCAAGTTTGCACAAAGGGGATTATAATTTCAATAATTTCCATGAATCGTTATTTGATTTCAATATTTATTTTCACTGTATGTATTATTTTCTTGAAAAAATATGAAAAATAATATTCATAATGACAAATACACAATGAAAAAATAGTGACTAATATGTATCTTCATGCTTACATATCCATCATTATTCGAATAATTACATATCGGATTTGACCTATGGACGAATATGCAAGCATGCGTTTAACTTTTTTTCTATGTAATAACAACGAGATTTCCCACTATCATGTTAAGAATAACTAGGATGTCCATAAGAAGATTTTTAGTATAGCAAATACTATAATATATGACTTTGTTATTTTGTTGATACTTTCCACTGTAAACATCCTTTTTAAAAAAATATATATATTTTTACTCCTAATTTTTGTGTACACATCAATCACTATATTTTCACTATATATATATATATTTATGGATTTTACCAAGATAATGGAACATGATAGTAATTTTCCTCCCCTTTAAGACCATATTTCAATGTAACTTCAAATTCTTACTATGTCTTATTATAAGAAAGGGAAAATCGTTATAATTGACAATTTTTTTCTAAGTCACATAAGTGGAATGAACTTTTCTTTAAACAAAAAAGATGATAATTTAAGCCACAATTTTAATTATAATTACTCCGTTGTACCTTTAGTAAATAAATAAAAGTACATTGTATGAAGATATACATGGAAAATACTAGAGTAGTAGTGGGTATTGTTATTGTAAATACAGATATATACTGAAAGAGTAATACACAAATAAATAAAGGGTGGGGGTAAAACCGGGAAAGCACAAAAGAAGGGGGATACTAGGGTTTTAAAGCGCCTATATAAATAGTCCACTTCCACCCATTTGCGAAAGAACAGCAGCGGCTGGCTAAGAAGAAACCTCTGAGTGCAAAACCCTAGCTGCTACCAATGGTACTCCATCTTCCTCTCTGCCCATTTCCGCCTTACTTTGGTTGTTTCATTGTTGATCTGTAACCGCTTCTCTGTATTTCGTTGCTTGTTTATCTGATCTACCGCGTAAATTGTAAAGAAATTGTTGCATTTTGATTTCTCTGTTTGAAATACCGTGATATGTTTCTTTTCTTTGAGTATTTGATGAATCGTATCGGTGGATCTTTATTTAAATTTGTGTGAATGGCTCATGTCTAGGTGTATTTGGATGTTTCTACTCGAGTTCAAAATTGACTGACGTTCTGTTCGATTTGTTATTTATGTTTTTGAAAAGTTTTATTGTTTTTTAAAGACAAGAAACGAAATTTGAAATGGTCTTCATATTTTCTTAATGTTTGGTGTTGCTTCTGGAATATCTGGACCTGGAGGGATTTCAACTGTTTGTGTTATTTTTGTTTATTTGTACTTGGTTTTGATTTGATGCTCTGCATTCTTACTATCAGTTGTTTGTTCCCATTTGTTTGAACATGTCTTTAGTTAATTGCAACCGTTCTTGATTGTGAAACTCCATTCATGTAGTAGTTTTGCTAGACCTTGAATAAGTTTAGTATTTGAAGTTTATGACACTACTTTTTTCGGAGTTGGCCATGCTCCATCTAGTTTATGTGGATTACTGGCTTAGAAATACCTTGGGTGCTTTATTAACTTTTGAGTTTGTGGGTTTGAATTATCGAGACTTGGTATTGTACAGAGTTAATTGTAAGATGGTCTAAAGTCCTGTAGTGAAAAGAGAAAAAGGGCCATGATTTGGAAATTTTAATAATTTAAGGATGTGAGATGCCTAAAGCCATTACTGCTGTTTTTGGTTTTAGGGGGGGGGGGTTAGTAAGATTCCGTATGCTTTTGCTACTTACTAGCATCTCACATTGGTTGATCATTTTTCTTTGTGATCTCAGCCGAAGCAAATACATGAAATCAAGGATTTCCTCCTCACTGCAAGGAGGAAGGATGCTCGCTCTGTGAAGATCAAGAGGAGCAAAGATGTTGTCAAGTTCAAGGTTCGCTGCTCCAAGTATCTGTACACTCTTTGTGTCTTTGACTCAGAGAAGGCTGATAAGTTGAAGCAATCACTTCCTCCAGGTTGGTGATAACTTTTCAGAACTAACTGATTTCGGAACTAACTGATTCTCTTTATGGTTGAGTAGTTTACTAGAACATATTGTTTATGGTTTAGTTATATTTCAAGTCAATATGGGCTGTGTTGATGTCCTCGTTTTCTAGAGTCAGTCTTTTTGTTGATGTAAAAGCACTACTATATGGTAACTATCAACTGTGGTCTAACTTGGAATCCTTTAAAAGACATTTTATTAGAATCTGGTTTTGCAATAACCATTAAAATTTAGATTTTATCGGTTGTCTTTCTACTGTTCGGAAAATGAAAATGAAAGCGTTAGAGGTTGAATTATGAATGCTTAATAGTGCAACACCAAATGCTTTTGAAAATTAGCTGTTGATGAATGTTTATTGTGCATTGTTTTATGCGAATCTTACTTTTTAAGTTTCTGTATTCCTGCAGGTTTGACCGTCCAGGACCTGTAAGCATGGATGCTTGTTTCAAGCGGTGGTTGCTTAGGGCTGGCTTTTGGTTTTCTTTACATTTGCAGTTTAGTTAAGACAAAAGTATTCTGTTGCTGTACTTGAATTATGGCTGTTGAAACTCATCTGAGATGGTGCTTAGTTAAAGATATTGCTGTTTTGACCCTCGCAGAGAAAATGAAGTTCTTTTAATCCAGAAGAGATTGTATGGGTATTTGCTTTTGCACGAATGGTTTTTGCCTATCGTTGGTAGAGATTGTATGTATTTGCTTTTGCACGAATGGTTTTTTTGCCTATCGTCGGTATCTATTATTGCAAAGCCTTTACTAATAATTAACTAAAAGGTTGGGTGTTTAAGTCACACTATTTCACTACACATCTTCCTAATAGTCTCCTGAATATTCCCTTTTTTTTAATCTGTTTATGAAGATACATTCAGTAATAATAATATAATAATCAAGGAGATACAGAGGCGTGAATGCAAAAGCATCCATCTTGATATCTAACCATCAGCAAAAGAAGTCTGTGCTACCGGGAAATCTAGTTGGTGAAAGAAATTCATTATGCATCTCGCCCTTCTCCGTTTCACACTTCATTGTTTCTTATATACCACAGGACATTGATGGATAGTGCGATTTCAACCTCAGAGGGTATTAGATTGATCAAGGGCATAAACCAGACTGAAATTTTGGGGCAATGGCAATCCTTGGTCTAAATCAAACCGAAGGCTTGACACTCCGTTTTAAGAGGATAAATTTCTATCTAGTAGGTCTATCTAATATAGTTTTGTAATTCTCACTTTCGAATATTAGTAGTAAATCATTGGAGATAAAATTAGTAGCATAAAACTATGAATTCTTGGAAGCATTTTAGTGCCCAAATCCAAAAGAGAACAATTGTTTTGGAGGGAGACGATAGATAATGACCATTACAAATGAAGTCCAGTTCTCTGAGTCATTTGGACATGTATTACTTATTTTGATTTCTTACACAGCACTGCAAAATGATGTGTAAGGGGCAAGTCTCTCAAGCCGGGACATCAGCAGTAGAAGGATACATCTTAGTGACATAAACAGGATCTCCCACTCTTATAATATTCCTCCTTCCACCCTGAGTTGGGGGATTCGTGCAAACCAAGTTCTGTCCAAAATACACCTGGTGCATATACGTTCAAATGTCTGAGTTTCAACTTGATCATGCAATCGGCCGAGGGTTGTAAATCATGCTTAAGTCCGTAACTAACTTACCTGCTTCCCTTGTGGCTTCTTACGTACAACTTGATCTGACCGTGAGATGTTGAGAACTTCGCTCACCTCAGGGCTTGCCACTGCAGTGTCTTGATTAATTGTAGGTACCTAAAATGAATTTGCCACATAAGCCTAAAATTTGGAATGCATCCTTGTAGAAATATAGCACACAAACATGCTTAGATGACAATTATGGCATGAAGATGTTTTTGACCTCACAGACCTATACATGATATGTAAGAGTCAACAGGAGTGATGCCAAGCAAATATTCAAACAATCTGAAGTCACCATGACTAAGGTAAAATAAAACTTATCACATTGGATCGATACAGGAGAATTTTGCAGACTTCTACATTATGGGAAACTCAAAAGGCCAATGAGTTACCAGGGAAATAAGTTTTCTCCACAATGAAGATACTCTAGTCTCTTTGTTATGGTTCATTGAATATGAGCAGCTGCCATTTGAACTATGGCAGCATTTTAAAATGCTACTGGTTGATTGAGGTTTAATCACGTTCGTGTTAGCTAGACATGCACTAAACTAGAAAACATTTATTACATTAGGATCCAAACTAGCCAAAGTTATCTTGCATTGTGGCGATTAGGAGCAACAAGACAACTGAATCGTTCATGCATATGATCCTACCATTTACATTTCATGTGATCCAATTCAAAAGAAAGAACACAAGAAGATGATCGTTTAATGCATTGGCATAAGCACATACCTTACAGCGACTACATAATTTGACACCATTGAATGTTAGTTGGTTGATCCTCATCTCCTTCCATAGGTCCTCGGCATATGGTTCACATCCATCAACAAGAATACTGCCACCAAATGCATTTTTAATATCTATGAGTTCAAGAGAGATGTGTATATTTGCTAAAAGAGCTGCATTCCAGGGGAAGACCTTAAGCATGATAGTTACAGCAACACCAGTACATGGTACTGGGAAATTGATAACATTCAGATGATTGTTTCTAGGCAAGTGGCAAATTAGAAATCTAGAAATGTTCGGAAGTAGCTCGTTGAACACATGATAATGACACATACTTGGGCCTAAAACGATTAATTGGTACTGGCTCTTTCAGAAGACTGTTCAATGCTTTCAATGATCCCTGCAAAGACATTGAAAAGATAAGCAGACCTGCAATTTATCTGTCTATAGAGTTCAGATATCCTCAATTCAAATTTAGCTCACATGGGACGCGAGGAGGAATGGGAACAGGTCAGAGAACATGATTTTGTATCCAGGAGCATAGTCGCGGTCCACGTTCCTTATTTCCGATGCTGCATAGAAGGGGAGAAAAAGGGCCATACTGATTAACAGGCCGAATATGTAGTAATAGTAAAAACACCCGAATGAACATAAATGCCTTCAGATTATGAGGTAATCACAGTGACATTCAAAAACACAAATGGAATAAAACAAGTCAAGATAATATCTTGCAGCAGGAGATTAAGCTTTTGGGGCAGATATCTGATACTTGCGGGACATTCAAGATATCGACCCTGAATCAAAGATCCTCCTCTCCACTAGTATTATTGATGAACTAACATATACATATTTTATAGAATGAAGCCAAATCAAATCAATGTCAAACACTTTTATGTAAACTAGCTGCATACAGGCAAAGTTGAGAACCAGGTACTGCCAAGATTATAAAGAAGTAGATGGAGATTGACAACTTGTAGAAGAGCATTCAAAAAATAAGGGTTCATTTGGAGAAAATAAACACACAAAAGCAACATCCTACCTCACCTGTAAAGAGTTGCAATATCATTGTCATTTGCAGTATTGAACTCGAGTTTGCACATTGCAAATTTGATATAAGGACATTAAAAATTACCTTCATTAAACCGCACTAGTCTGCTAGATTTCCCAAGATAACTGGAAAACCAGTTTGAAGCCTCATCTCCCTCATCAAATGCAGAGCCAGACCACTCCCACACTGAGACACCATCAGATATTGCAGGCGGTGTATGTAAGGGAACTTTCAGCGAACTCATACCAGGGGCCCTTACCACTGTAGTATGATGCGTTCATTAGTCACAAATGGCTTACATGCATGCTTCTTATTACCATTATGAATATAATGAAAAGGGTCAAATACCTTCATCTATACCAATCCTCAATCCCATAAAAAACAAAAGATAAGAAAGACAAGTTTATTGAGCCACTCACTCTTCAATAATTTTTATTCCACACTTTACCTGTAAGTAAAATCTTTTTCCATCTGTTATCATTGGCAACTGTATCTATACTAATGCAGCTTGTTTATAGTATGTCTGTGGGTTCAAGTACAGCTTAAATTGTCAGGACCATATAGCCCATGTGGTTTTGCAGCTTGTTTATAGTGTGTCTGTGGGTTGTGACAGTAAAAAGCACATAAAAGAGAACAATTTCTTAATCTTTATGCAAGAAGCCATGGTAATTACCCAAGTAAGAGCTCTGATTTGGTTCCCAACTCTCAGAGAATGCTTCGTTTGGCAGTTCCACTTCAACTAAAGCAAGCTTTGGCTCATTTCTTTGTGTAAAAGCCCTGCCTTTGGAATTCACTACCACCCATTGACGATCCCACCGAAATCCTAGCACAAAAGCACAAAAACAGATTAGAACTAATATATTTGACAATCCAGTAGTCATATTTCTTAACTGAGTACAAATTGCAGGAAAGAATAGCAGTAAAAGAACCACTAGTACTTGCACTTGAGTAATTAGAATAAAGGGATTAAAACAAACAACTTTAGTTCTCATCACGATTCACCAAGCTAACTGCACGTCTGCCCGAATGGTCAAGATTAGATTTTTCGAGCAAAAAAAAACACGGTATAATCATGGATAACCTTTTATGATGGCTATTGAAGCATATGTTACTCCAATTCAAAAAGAAATGCAAGAAAACAACTGAAAATTACACCTTGAAATAATAATAATAATAATAAAGAAAGTAATTGTTGTGAAGGTGTACCAGTGGAAGCTAGGGGAGCTTGAGAAACAGAAATTCCTCGGCATGATTTGATCGGATATACAAAGATTGATGTAACTCTTGCAGCTTCCTTGGTGGGTTCAGCCATTTTTTTGGTACTGGTTTTACGGCTTTGCTTCAGCTGTCTCTTACACTCTTGCACCCAAAGTCAATCACAAATGACAATAAATAGTAATAGTACTTCTTTTCACTTGGGGATTTTGGGGGAATAATCTGATTCAGACACAACTTCAATGGGGTGATAGATATTTAATGGTCTTATCATATGGGAACCCTTTTGAAAGGGATAGATCATGGATGGGGTGGGGACTTTTTGGTCTAAAAATTCTAACGAATCAAGTTTGAAGGAGACACTGACAGAATGAATATACAAATGGCATTTCATCTTTAATCTTTATCTTGTTTTGTAAGATTCAATGTTGCACGGATGGCGGGTCAAGATCAATTTTTTTCACAAGTTGTAATGATATCACCATGATTTATTGTCAAATGGAAACAGATGTGACAAGAAAGATTGGTTAGGCGCTAAAAAGTAAAAACTAACTCCAACATATATAGGAGTTTGGTAGTATATTGTTTTCGAAAATTTTTTAAGGTCATAAGGCAGCCATAATATAATCATCCCATGATGCTGCAACTTACATAATGATGTAGTATCAGAAAACTGACCATTGTTACATAGTATTTGTAATTCACCCAAATGATTATGTGAATAAAAATATGAGTAATCACTGTTGCAAATGTAGCAGCATTTTGAAGTAAATGTAGAGGCTAACAACATAATAGGGTGCATGTATCAAACGGGTTGGAAGATGGTGGCAAAGTTGGACAATGTCTCAGTGAGGTTGCCTCTGAGAAAGTTCTTGTCATATGTAAGGATGTCTCAGAGAGGAATGTAAAATTGCAAAGGTGTTACAAACTTATTGTGTTCATATTATAGTAGAAGAAGTTGATTTTTTTTTTCTTTCTTTTTTTCTTCTTTTCTGTTCAAAGAAAAAGTACCAAGAACAATATGTGTATATATAGAGAATAAAGAGAAATGTGTCTTATGCCCACATTATCTCCTATCTATATGCCCAATCGACTTTTTTCCCCCATATTCCTCATCTATTGGATCATTGGATGTCTCCATCAATCTTTTCCATATTCCCCTTTCTTGTTTCCTATTAAGACCGGCTAATCACTAATTTTCAAGCTAGTTTTTCCGCAGAGATACTAGGAAGATGAAATGTTTCAACTACGAATTTCTACTGATGGCCCCCATCAGGCGCCCATGGTGACTTTGTTGCGTTTTGCAGCTTTCTTTCCTTGACCCTTCGTTGGTGGTCCTTTTCCACCGCGCTTTAACATCTCAAGCTTGTCTAGACACGCCTGCCAAGTTTACCAAGTCTAAAAAACCATGTTACGAGAACCAAGGTATCCATATAACAGATGGGGGTTCAATAACTGAGAAGAAACATAAGCTGTGACAAATTTTTGATGAACTACAAGAATTTGCGCACATAGGTGCATAAATCTGAATACAACTTTGTCAACCGCCTCACTTTTCTTAGCATGTATTCAAAAGTAAACTATCTGACACTACCTACATCTTTTATCAGTAAATTATACCATCAGCAGTCAAAAAATTTTCTTCCCCACTTTTCCAGTAGTCACTTGACATCAAAACTATGCTCGTAAAACTCAAAATTTCCGTTCATAGTAAATATCTCCCAGTCAGAAAGAATTTGAGTCAATTCTTACAACTGGATAAAGCCTGGAATTAGAATATTTCACTGCCATATGCATGCCATAATGGCATCATATTCCTTGGCCAATTTTTGAACATTTGATAAAACACAAGGTTAAAGTTAAATGGAGGAGGTGAGGGGCAGAAGGAAGTAATAGTTGCCTTACAGAGGCTCCCGGAGAATTTTGGAAATAAAAACAATGGAATCACGCCAAATAGTTCTAGGCCTATTTGAGAAATTTATTGTAAGATAATATGGCATTTCAAACACTTGGTTCAAAAAGAACCATTTCATATTTTCATTCAACCAAAAAGTGACTCGAACAAGACAGAAATGCACGCTACTTCTTCAAACATCCGCCAGACAATCCACAGGATTATCAATTAAGGAGTTGAAGTAAAAGGACAAGAGCTTTTCGTGAACAAAACAAGCTAAAGGAATAGAAACAGCAATGTTAAATACCAAGTAAACTCTGAGGCATAAAAAGGCATTAAAACCTTCCGTAAGATAGAAAGAACAGATTTCAATACATCAGGGAAAATTATGATGATTTCAAACAGGGTATACTGAACCGGCAACATCAAAATTCAAACCCATCCAATATCCTTCACTATGTTAAACCATCCTCCCACCAAAATTGCGTTTCGCAGGAAACAGCTTCAAGAATCATCCAAAACTAAAGCCTAAAGGGATGTGCATATTCGAGCATATCATGCAACCATGCAAAAAGCCAAACTTTGCCTACGGGGAGAAAGCTCGCCAAAAAAAATACACAAAGGACAAATCAGACACCCACTTGGTATCTCAAACAGGTACATCTGCATGCAATGGAATTCTAAGAACACCTAGTGATTGTAACTGGGAGCACAAGGGGAAAAAAGATTACTCTTGCTCCTTTTGGGCCATGACTAGAGGATCATCTTGCTTGATATCATGCAGGTACCATTGGGAAACTTGCCCTCCAATCAGCTTCTTGCGCAAAACTTTGTGAGCTGATCTTTGACCAGTTGGGTAACTTGGGTTAAGCATGTGACCAAATATCCTTACTCTTGCATCGATTGCCCCTTTCACGGCTGCCTCGGCCAGAACACTTTTCAAGCTCCCTAAGCTCATTATTTCTTCCCCTACAAAAGAAAATGCAACCCACATTATGATCATAGTTATGAAAGTTGTCACTAGTATCACTCTAGTTCTGCTGGAATTATAATCCTTTACTCACATTGAATGCAAAGCAGGTCCAAGCTGAAGAGTACACAATAACTACTCTAAGAATCCTATCCATGGCAAGATGTGGTAGAATCAAGGTGAGGTTGAGAGAACACAAAAAACCTAAACACAAAAGCAACATCCCGGACATGAATCGATTGAATATCTTACCATCTACATGGAGTAAAAATATCAGTCTGTTCTTTTAGAGCGAGAATTTCATTTGAAACAATAAGGGTTCTAAAAGATCAACGAACTAGCAATACCAAGTGATCTAAGAAAGAGTGCACATAATCCCAATGAAAATTATCCCACAGCACACAGCTGCGGTAAATTGCCATTTGAAGGAGTGTTCCTTACTCAAAAACATACACACTTCGTAAGTTTAAGAGGACTACAGTCATTATGTAGCGACTTCAATTCCCCATTCATACATGGGAGCTTAATACAGACAGAGATAAAGAGTAGTATTTTCAGAAGGGAAAAAACAAAAACTTTTTCTTATTAGTAGATAAAGTTTCTTCCTCAGATTGAAAACCCAAATCCGAGAAAAGATCAATTGATCCAAATTCGAGAGGTATAACTACTGATTACTTGCTGATCAACGAAAGAAACCCAAACCAAAAAAAAATTTAAGTGCAGAAACGTGGAAAAGAATGAGCTGATTGCCAATACAGAAGAGGATGGCAGCCCAAAACGGAGTGATTCCTGGGAATGTGGATGGAACTTACTATTCAATTTCTTCTCCAACTTCTTCTGACCTGAATTTGGAGAAATGAAGCCCAGAAGTCCTTTGTTGGCAAAGATTGGTTTTTTAATTTTATTTTTGGTTCATGATGATTTATTTCATTTTATTATATTTTATTTTTTCTTTTATTTTAATTTCCAATCAAGAGGCGACGTCGTGTAGAGAAATCTTAAACCCTTTGATCCTACATTTTCTGAGGTCCCCAGAAACGCCTTAAACCCTCTTCTCCTCCCTTTTGAACACACACACACACACACACTACCACACGCTTGCAGACACGCAGATGGTTCATTACCCATATTTCCATCCGAACAATTTAGGGATCCTAACCATTACCCAGTTTTCCTTGCAGTTCATTTTGAATGTAAATTAGTGTCGCCTTATGGCGTATGTTCATAAATTCTTCTCCACTGCCAAAGCAAATTGCCACTCCAGCGTCACCATGGTAATTCCTATTGTGTGTGTGTGTGTGTTTTTTTTTTTGACATTTTCCTTTGGTTTTGATTGAAGTATGTTTATTTACCAAGTTTGGCTTGTGGGTTTTGTTAAAGATGATGAATGTTGAAGAAACAAATATTACTTGCTGTGAAGATGATATTTTTTTTTAATTGTTTTTTGATGCCATGTGAATGTCAATCGAATGGCCCAGCTTCTCTCTCTATCTATCTCTGTTTTTTTGTTAAATGGTTCTTACTTGTACGTACTTCTGAATGCAGAAATGGGATGGAGGGGGGAACGCATTACTCCGTTCTTATCTAGTTATTGAATGCTTTTTCTTTTGTGGGTTTCCCAAATTCAAACAGTATGAAAAAGTTCTTAACTTTGAAAAAGGATTTAGATATGCTTGCTCTGGCGGTGTCCGATCAGAAATTTTAAAGATAGGGTAGAGGAAAAGAGGATTCTTGGGTGGGAAAAATTGTTCTTCAGAAGATAGGAAACGGAACAATTGAGAATTATTCTCTTATCTCATTGGAAGAAAAGGGGTTGTTAAGCATGTATAAACAATTTATTTATTTGTACATCATATTTCTTGGTTCTAGGATGTGAACATTTTAACCCTGAATATTTTAGGTAATAAAATTGTGGAAATAGTTGAAGAAAAAGTAGCAATTGTAGATCGACTAGTTCAAAGGAAAGAAGTGTGTTCTTATTTAGTCCAGCCTGGTTCTACATGCTGGATAATTGTTTTCAAGTAATAATCTCCCGGTCTTTTGTGTTGGTTGAAAACTTGCAGACTAGAACTATATACAACTTTCCCGGGACATATTCATTGTGTTCACCATTCAAAACAGCTGACCAATTTAATAAGTTACCCGAAAAAATGGGGGTCTGCTTTTCATCTGTGAGAGTACAATCCAAAGTTTTGAGAATAAGGTCAGATCGAAGATTAGATGCCATTACAAGCCTTGCTGATGGGTGTCAACTATTATCTGCGTCCATTCTTCAGCCGAGCCTTAGAGTTGGTTCCTCATGTAATGCAGTGGGGATGAATATCAGAAGTTGTGGATCCCTAAGCAATTATAAATTGGTCTCGTGTCCTACTTCAATTAGGAAGAGATCCATTTCTCATGTCTCTGGTGCCTTATCACCACAAAATGATGCTGCTTATGGAAAAGATGAAGAGAGCAGTTGCAATTTAAAATTTAAAAAATATAATTACAAATCCTGGAAAGGGAAAAAGGCATTTGGTGCTCGAAGGGAAAAAGTCATTTCCAATGTCAGCCCTGAAAGAAGTAGTTCTATCTTGAAAGCATCTGCTACTAGAGGTCCGGATATGATAAGTTCAAAGAATCACATTCCCTTGGAAGAGAAGAAGGATGCAGAGGTCGAATCTCCTGATTGCAATGGAAGCCAAAATTCCAGCATGTCCAGCAAACCAAAAAAGTCTAGAAGCAAGAAGAGCAAAAGTCAAGCTTCTGACACAAATGCTGATGAGGCAGTTGAGCTGAAACATTCGGTAGAGCTTAAAAAGCAAAATGTTAAGGACAGTAACTTATCTGCTGCAGCAACACAGGTTGGTATATATAGCCTTTGAAATTTTGAGATTTTTGTTGGTTGCGATATTATTTTTGACATAGCAGTTTTGCAGATTAGTTCAACTAAAGGTACTTCTACAGACACACAGAAGAGTAATGTTTCCACTAAGGTTAACCAGTCATCCAAGAAGGGAAACCCCAAAAAAGGGGTTGCTGACGTTTCAGTGTCTGATGCATCATTGCCAGATTCTTCTATGGACATTCCAACAGAAAGGCGAATGTCACAACTATTTGGCAGAACTACTCAAGAAAATGTCAAATTTCCTCAGTTATATCCCCCCATAGCTAAGACTGTTCTGGTTGTAGAATCTGTTACAAAGGCTAAGGTTATTCAAGGATACCTAGGGGACATGTTTGAAGTTTTACCAAGTTATGGTCATGTGAGGGACTTAGCTGCAAGATCGGGATCTGTAAGGCCTGATGATGATTTCAGTATGGTATGGGAGGTTCCGTCTGCTGCGTGGACTCATCTTAAGAGTATCAAGGTTGCACTGAGTGGGTACGATTTCTTTCTTCTGAATTTGACTAGCCACTAATTTTATCATCTAAAACTATTGATAAAAGATAGGTTACACACTATTTGAATCCCTTTACCATTTTCAAGATCTCCTCCAGAAGATGAAAAGGGACCTTTATATTTCATCTGTTCCGCAATTTACTTAACTTCATTTGCTTATACTCTCTCTTTGTTTCTCAGAGCCAAAAATCTTGTTCTTGCATCTGATCCTGATCGCGAAGGTGAAGCTATAGCTTGGCACATTATTGAGATGCTGCATCAGCAAGATGCTTTACGTGATGATGTCACTGTTGCGAGGGTTGTTTTTAATGAAATAACAGAATCATCCATAAAAAATGCTCTTCAATCGCCAAGAACTATAGATGTAAATTTGGTGCATGCCTATCTTGCACGACGTGCCCTAGATTACTTGATTGGATTCAACATCTCTCCATTGCTTTGGAGGAAACTGCCTAGTTGCCAGTCAGCTGGTAGAGTTCAGTCTGCTGCCTTAGCTCTAATATGTGACAGAGAAGCAGAAATTCATGATTTTAAACCACAGGAGTACTGGACTGTGGAGGCTGAGTTTAACAAAAGGGAGCCGAGGTCAAAAAATAGTATCTGGTTCTCCTCAAATTTAACGGAATTTGACTACAAAAAGTTAAACCAGCTATCCATTGGCTCCTCCTCTGAGGCAAGTTCGATAAAACAGCTTATTGATTCATCCAAATTTGAAGTTATTGCATCTAAAAAGAGCAAAAGTAGAAGAAATCCTCCCAACCCATACATCACATCCACAATGCAGCAAGATGCTGCGAACAAGCTGAACTTTACTGCAGCAGATACTATGAAAATTGCACAAAAGCTTTATGAAGGTGTCCAGTTGTCTGATGGCAAAGCCGTAGGATTAATAACGTACATGAGAACAGATGGATTGCACATATCGGATGAGGCTGCATCGGACATTCTGTCTTTTGTTAGAGAAAGATATGGGCAAACATTTGCTCCAAAAGCTGCTCGAAAGTATTTTAAGAAGGTAAAGAATGCTCAAGAGGCCCATGAAGCTATTAGACCAACAGATATTCGGAGACTACCTTCGATGCTTGCTGGGGTACTTGATGGCGACTCTTTGAAGTTGTATAAACTCATTTGGTCTCGAACCGTCGCATGCCAAATGGAACCTGCTATCAATGAGCTGATACAGCTTGATATAGGAGATGTTGGTCGGTCTATGGTTCTTAGGTCTTCGTGCTCAAGAGTTGAGTTTCCTGGTTTTCAGTCCGTTTTTCAGGATACAGAATCCAAATTAACGGGATTGGATGAGGATGAAATGGAAGGCAATGCTGAAATTTTTGAGGTTTTGAGCTCTTTGGAAGTTGGGGATTCCTTGGATTTGGGTAAAGTAGAAATCGAACAACACCATACAAAACCTCCATCACGCTACTCCGAAGGGTCACTGGTTAAAAAGTTAGAGGAGCTTGGCATTGGAAGACCTTCTACTTATGCCAGTACAATTAAGGTGTTGAAAGATAGAAACTATGTAACAGTCAAAGGAAGGGTAATGTATCCCGAATTTCGAGGCCGCATGGTTTCAGCCTTCCTTTCCCATTATTTTTCTGAGGTCACAGATTACAGTTTCACTGCTGATATGGAGACTGAACTTGATAATGTTTCTGCTGGATCGACTGAATGGAAAGGCCTTCTCCGAGATTATTGGACAAGATTTAGTGAATACTGTACGCAAGCTAGTAATGTCCATATTCATCAGGTGGAGAAAATGTTGGAGAAAACATTTTCTAATTTCTTGTTTGCCTCTACCCCAAATGGAAGTAGGACATGCCCAAGTTGTTCTGAAGGCACTCTAATTTTTAAAGTCAGCAGACATGGTGCTGGCTACTTTATAGGTTGCGATCAGCATCCAAGATGCAAGTGAGTAAGCGAACCCATGTTTTGTTAATATTTCTCCTTAAATGCCTGCCAGCACAAGTTCTTACTTTTTTTGTCCTTCCATGCAAGGGGACAAGTTACTCATGTTTTCTGAGTGTTTTTCTGAGAGGCTGCAACCTTTAGTGAAGCATTTGCAAATGGGTCGTGGGATTATTTTCTGACGTGTTTTCTAACCAAGCTGCAACCTATATGGGATTATTTTCTGTTCAACTGCAAATTATGTCTTGTTTCATGTGTCACACCATGTTTTATCTGTAAATCGCAATGTGATAATCTGATTCCACTTTTGATTGTGTCCAAATTTAGCTATATTTGTAATTCAAGCAGCAGGTGGAGAACTTTGACTAAGAATATTAGGTTGTTGGAATCTGGTGTACAAATTTGTCCAACGCTTGCATGTTGTTGATGGTGCATTGGCATGCTTTGTTAACAAATTTTATCACTGTGGCATGCTGTTTCCTTTTCCTGTATAACTCTGTTTGGTGCCTTTTCTCCTGGAATGAGATCTGTTTATTACATTGTCAGCTAGAGTTGTTCAGCTAAATGAGTGTTTTGTTTTTTTTTTCTTCCTGTTCTCCTTGTTTCTGCTGTTTTTTAGCAGCGCTAAGCATATTGTTTCTTTGAACTTTGAAACATATAGGCACGGAAAATTTCTAATAATGGCATAAAAATGGTCAGTTTTTTAGTTTGTCAATCTCTACCCGAAATATTCACTTTCTGATACAGGTATATTGCGAAGAAATTATATGGTGATGAAGACGACCCCTCTCCTGAACCCAGTAAAAGTGCGGAGCCGCCAGTAGAATTGGGGCATCATCCAGTATCAAAGGAGAAGGTTCTCCTACAATTTGGACTGACTTTAAGATATGTGGAGTATTGTCTTAATCATCTTGGTCTCACGCATGCATTTGTGTTTCCCTCTAGGTCCTCTTGAAGGATGGTCCTTATGGACATTATGTTCAGTTGGGTGAGGACAGGCAAGGGTACACTCCTAAACGGATCTCCCTTAATAAAGTAAGTAACCATTAGGTAATTTGGACTAAGATGGTTTAATTGGACCATAGCAAACCCCAATATAGATAGGACTCTGGTCTGTCAAAAATGCTGTTTCCGCCATTTACTTTGATGAATTTCTGTGGACTGTTGTCTGTTGCTGGACTGACTGAGCTTGAATTACTATGAAATACTATGAAATCATACCCTGAGATCTGCATCATTCTCCAGCATTTGACTCTTACATTTACCTTTATTTTGATTTGTGTCCTTATATTCAGTGAACATGAACTGTCATTTAGTCCTTTATGATGAAGGATTTACTTGTGCTTTAAATTTGCTGCTATATTGTCCTAGCCTTGTCGGACATTTTGGTCTCTTCTTAAGTGGAGGAAGTCATGTCAGTTCTCATTTAAAATCCTACTATTTTTTAGGCACAGATAAAAGATCTGAATTCAGTCACTTTGGAGGTTGCTCTCGAGTTGCTGAGCTACCCAAAGACCTTGGTGAGCCCGACTGTGAATTTGAAAATATTCTTTTTCCCATCTTCTCCACAAAAGCCGCCTCCCTGTTTCTTCCTGCAATTCCTCCCTTTTTTGCTTCTTTTTCTCATTTTTAAATTGCTCTTTTGTCAGGGTAAACATTCACAAGATGATAAACCGGTGATATTAACACCTGGAAAGGGTGGGTTTTACATTAAGCATGGACGTTTTAGTGTTCCCCTTCCCAAGGTACGTATAAACTCAAAAGTCTTCCTCTGGGCCTATAAGTTAAATTGTTTTTAGTTGCAGAGCCAACATACTCTAATCATCTCATTTGCATCTGGAAAGTTTTTTAAGTAAACATTAGGGCATGTGGATTGACGATTATTTCTAGCCTGCGAGACATCTTTCGGATGCATCAGTGGTTCAGAACTTCGGATTATTTTTCGATCTGAAATTCGTGACCTTATATTTAACGTCTGAGTTTCTTTTTCTAAGATGTCTATGCTACTGCACATAATTTTCTTGTCATAGTCTTCCAAATGTATGAATTATGATATATAGATTCCGTCCCCATGAGACCATGATACACTCCTTCTGGCCCAAAATGGTTGTACAGTTTTTGTACTGTTTTTTAGTACAACAAGCACATCAATCATTTTGGGATTGAGAGAGTAGCTCTCTTCTATGCTCATGTTGGAATTTATCACTTCCTCGCGCAGAACATGAAACCTGAAGATGTAGATTTCGATAAAGCTAAGGAGCTGTTGCGAGGACCAGGTGTAACAAAGAAAGGGCGGCCATCGGCAAAAGAGCAGCTTGAGAAATCCATGTCAGGAACGTCGTAGTTGTCTTGTAGTCTTCGTGGGTTGCAATTGAAAGCCATGTAGTAGTAAATATAGAAAATCCCAGAAAATTTATGCACCATCCACCATTTCTGAAGCTGCTTTCATTCCGCAAAGAGTAGGTATATATTCAGCGACAGATTCTTTCGGACATTCATTGTAGGGTGACTAAGAGCAACACTGAGCGGGAGTTATGGTTATTTTTGTCGGAAATTGTATACGAGAACTAAATATTTGGTTGATTGGATTAGTGAATAAATAAAATGTAGTGTTGGAAGAATGCATTCATTTCGAGAAATCAATTAATTAGATGACTGTTTTGATAAACATGTAATAGAATTCTTCGTAAATCGTAATCATACTCTTAAACATAGACCAGTTGCATCCTACGTGCTTAGCTTGTGCCCGATCTATAAAGTAATTTAAAAAAGCCTAATAAAAGAAAGGTAGAAATAAATCATAGAAGTCATGATAGCTGTATAAAAAAATTTTTAGAAGAGACCAATATTTTAAACAATGATCAGGAAATTCAATAACCAATTCATAGGCATGCGTAGAATTACACATTAACAAAAACAAATTTACATGAAGCAGAAAATGGAATCATATATTTTCACAATCCAGATTTGTTTCATTAGAAATTACATACAATTCATATTTATAAAGTTACTCTAAACACAAAATTACCCACTAAAACAGATCATTTCTATTTACAAAAGCCACACAAAATAACAACAGAAGCGACATTGTAGACTTGAATAGTAAAAATTGAAAACACAATAAGATTAATTTCATCATTCTAAAGATAATTTAAATAAAAGTAGAAAAGAAGGTGAAGTATAAATTAATCAGCTATTTACCGTTCATAGTGGGAGAAGAACCACTCGGTGCGAGGGTGGATCGATTTGGAGGAGAAAGAAAATAGAGAGTAGTGGCCGGTGCATTAGTTGCCTTTTAAACATTGCACTTTATGTGATTATTTAAAGAAAAATCTATCAATAATTTCGCAATGAAATACTTCCTCTCTTTTCAGTTTTCGTTAAATTTAATAAATCATTAAAATTATTAAATTCATCACTAAAACCATTAGATTGTAAGGTTAACAATTTGAAGAGATTGAACCATGAACAATCCTTGATTAGCATTAATTGGAATAATAATCACATGTAGTCAATTAATATTATATTAATTAAAATAATTAAATGTCAATTTATCTTTTAAATTATGTGCCACTACTTTAAAAGAATAGTGAGTATTGAGAATTGAAACGGAAAATAAAAAGAAGATCATCAGTTTTTGAATATACACGTGATAGGACATAATATAATGACCAAACACAAATTAAATCTTTCATCCTCCTTTATTGTTACTATTAATTAGAAAATAATTATATGTAATTAATTAGTATTAATTAACTAAAAAAATTAAATACCTTTGAAATTAAATCTTTCATCCTCCTTTATTTTTACTATTAATTAGAAAATAATTATATGTAATTAATTAGTATTAATTAACTAAAAAAATTAAATATCAGTTTATTTCTTCTTTTTTAAACACTTATTCCTAGGGTGTACTGCCAAACCTTTCTCCAAACTTACCTTTTATATATTATGTTGAAAAGCAAAGGAAAAACATTTTTCTCTCATTTGAAATCACACGAATATCAATCTTAGTTTTTCAATCTTCTGACAACCAAACATATCCTAAATAGTTTTTTTTTTTTTTGGGTTCGAATAAATATGAATTTTTTTTAAAAAAAAAAAAATATTTGCTTCAACTCTCGTGTTGTAGTAGGGAAAGACATGTAAACGTTCAATTAAACCTTATAATTTTTTAAAACAAAAAATTTAGAATCTTTTGATTACTTTTTCAAAGAAAGATTAAAAATTGAGATAGTTAGAACGGTCATAAGTATTTGTTTTCAAGTTATTTAATAATTTCCCACTCTTTTTATCCGTGCGCTAGATTCAAAAATCCAAACAAGACAATCATTTGGGATTTCTTTTTAAAAAAATTCCACATGTTATTTGGTATTTTTTGACATAAATATAGCAATTATGTTAAATTAATAAGTTAATAATTAATCTTACTAGTAGTAGAATCTCCCTAAATTAATTATTTTTTAATTAATAACATCTATTAATTAATATTTTTTCCTAGAGACCAGTAAAAAAATAAAAAATTTCGATTAATTTATAAGATAATAATTTGTTGAGAATCTCTTATATAAATATATAGGTCCTCAAAATTTCATCTGTACATTAAATGTCTCTTGATGAGTTTAGAATCTTGAACGTGATTCGTCAGAAATTAAATTGAGCATTTTGATTGGCCCATTAGTTGACATGACATCATCAATTTTAAATTGAGCCCTTTGATTGGTTAATATATTAACATGACATCAGCAATTTAAAACAAGGCTACAATGGAAAATTAATAAAATTATTTTCCTTTTTTGCCAACCAAATATTCCTTCCGTCCCAAAAAAATAGTCTACATTGAGTTTGGAGTTCTGTAATGTATTTAGTAGAAATTTTGAAAACTCAATGTGGACTATTTTTTTGGGACGGAGGTAGTATGTTATTAGCCGAGAGAATTAACCTAATTAATGTGGCAGGCTAAACGACGACGTTTACTACTCGATGTTACTAATTAATATGTCATTTTTTTGTACCCATTTTTACTGCCAATTTTTTCGGTCGCTCTCCATGCCTTCCTTCCCCACAAATCTTTCCCCGCGCCAAATGTCAATCTAATCTTCCGTCACGTACATTTCTCCATCCCTTCAAATCCAATTATCTTCTTGGGTTCGAAATCCAATTGTTATGCAATGGTGGCGACGGCCAATCTCTTGAAAGGAAGAAGAACTGATCCTGATTTTTTTTTTTTAGTTCCTGATGGTGGCAATGGTGTAGATCCGGCATCCAACAAACAAATGGTAATCATACTTTGGGTGGGATTCCGATGGTGGCAATGCAAGCAATCCACCGTCTAGGAAACACATGGCGGTGCTGATAAATCGTGTTTCCAGCGTCAGATAGTAATTATTAATAGAATTTCATTAAGTCACATGACAATGTGACCATTTGAAGTGAATTCATATTGACATGACTCAAACTACGCGCGACGAGAACAAATCTAGTAATATAATAAATACCTATAATAAAAAAAATAGATTTGAAGAATTAACTTAGATTTTAACTTACGAATTTTGTTCTGTTTGTAATTATCAACTTTTTATTCCATTAAAAGAATTATAATAATGTAAATACGATTACAACCGACTTTTTTATGTAAAAAAATAAAATTTTATGCTTTTTTTTACTAATAGGAATGAAAAAACTCATTAAATTAATTAATTATTAATTTATCTATTAATTTACCGATAGATTAAAAACTCTATAATAAATTAATTAATTTTTGGGTCCCATAATTTATAAAGGTTTTACTTATAAGTTTCTTTTTGGTACATTAAACACCATCAAGTGATACAATACAGTACTTTTAACAAAAAATTTGCACTGTAAGTACACTGTACACCAATTTTATTATTATTTTTTTGAGTAATTTAGTACACCAAGTTAACCAAAATTTCATATATATAACCTTTATCTTTTACTCATGGTTAAAAAGTTTTTCTTATTATATATATTTTTGAAATTAGACATTTCTATTTTGCATTTTCCATTTTAATTGAAATCATCATTATTATTTTATTAAAACTATATCATCAGCGCGCAGTATTAAAATAAATACAATTAAAAAGGAAAATAAGAGAATATGTTATAAATATTTAATGTGGATGTCCACAAGTTAGAAGAATTATACAAGAAATCAACTATTTAGAGATAATATTTAGTTAGCTAGATCTTATCATTATTTGATGTTATCCTTGTATCTATTTTGTCTATACAAAAAGATCATTCTCCACAGAATAAGACACATATAAATTCTCTCTATTTCTCGTCCTACTTGTTCTTTCTCTACAGTTCCACATCTCTTATTGTTTTGGTTTATTTTATAACACGTTATCAACACGAGTCTCTATCCAACTGAGAAGATTTTAATCCGTAGATTTGAGAGTGCGATTGATTTTGATCCATATATCAGGGAGTGCGGTAAGCTTTTCTTGTTTTGTAAATATTGGATATAACCAAGTGCTCCTGTAGTAGCCTTTTCAATTATAAATTTCTCATATATTGAAGTTGCTCCATTAGCAGCAATTTCATGAAAATATTCAAAGAGATTTTCTTCACTTCCTGAAGCAAGTGGATTTGAATATGTTTACATATCAAGTATCACGTTCAAGAAATCACAATAAAGAAATCAAAATAAGAAAATTGCTCTTGGAGTAGCAGTTCTTTATATTTTTATTAAATGCATCATTATGATTGTGTTTAAAAAAATCACAATACTCTCTGATTTGAGAATTTTCACTTGCTTAAGCAAGTGGGCAACTACGTCGTTTATGAGTCAAATTATAATAGTGGATATACTATAATATGGTAGTCACGTATAAAAATAATATTTTCAGCTGAAGTGGAAGATTATTAACAAGAATAATAAGAAAATTGCTTCTGAAGTAGCTATATAATTCTTATTAGTATTGAACAAATTATTGAGTGCTGTTGCAAATAATATTATACTCGTCTAAGTTGAACAACTGCATTTTTTGAAGTATATGCAATTATCAGAAATTTAATAGTGGACAAAGTAAAGTCCCAAATATAATTGAGAATTGGTAATGATACGAAAAATATTTCTAATCACCGGAAGTGATAGATTTTAATGAAAATAAAATAATCTGCATGAAGTGGAAAGTTGAAGAGAGCAAAAGGGTAAAAGATAGAAAGTGCTATTGTTATAGCATAAAAAATCATCACATACCTATTTTGTGCTAAAAACATATTTTTATTCTCTATCATATCGTTATTCTCTATCAAAAGTGTTAGCGATATTATCATGGATGTTAGTTATATGTTCTCCCTGAAGGTGAACAAATC